TAGGGCATGCTGGGTTTTTTTTTTTCCCTCTTTCGGTCACAGCCAGCGATGCTCGGTACTCTGGTGGTGCTCGGGGGACCATATGGGATGCTGGAATTCGAACCTGGGTCAGCTGTGTGTAAGGCAAACGCCCTCCCCGCTGTGCTATCACTCTTGTCCCAGGGCGTGCTGTTATTACAGGTTTTCTGCCTGCTGATGGCATTGTGAACACACACCATTTTATGCGCAGATGAAACGCAGCCAGTGTCTTGCTGAGACCCGTCAGTTTGCACAGCATTAACTAAGTCAACTGAATAAAAGTTCTCCCAGATGACCTAGTGAAGAAGTTCTATTTGGCTGTTGCCTGCATGGCGTCCCCACGTAAGGGTGCTCTCTGCAAAATCCCAAAGCTCTGAGGTGTCCCAGGACTATCAGACTCCTGCCCCGTCCACACATTAATTTTACTTTGCTTCACTGATTCATGGATCAAATCAATGAGCTTGTGAGTTGTGTCATACCTCGTGGGTCTCTGCCTCTTTGGAGTGGGGTTGAAACAAGTTTTTTTTCTGTGATATTCTGAGTTGCAGGCATATTGGGTCCTTTTGAGGATTTATTATCCTCAAAGACACATCTACTGGGGAGGCTGATGGAAGGAGGGTAAACTCTTAGAATCTAATCTTACGAACTCATGGTCCTTTACTGAACAATTTGTGAATAGTGCCCCCTGCAGGGAGGGAGGGAAGTCTGCCATGTGCTGAAGGCACCAGGGTGAGAGGGGGCTGCCTGTCCCCCAGAATCCCCATCCCCCCACCTGCACAGGGAACCGGAGTTCACTCTGGGGAACAGATCTCAGAGCCGACACCCCACCCACATCTTCCCAGTGGAGGGTGCGGACGCGCGTGGAAGCAAGGACAATCGGTGCTATTGAGAAGGAAGCTGGCCCCTGGGAGCCCCTTGGCCCTGGCCACCGGGCATTCACTCTGCATTCCCCGTAATGGGAGGTGTGGAATCCAACAGTCACCTGACACACGGAATTCCTCATGTTTGAGAACTGGAAGGAATGAGGGTGCAGAGCAGCCTGGGGCCCAAGCCCAGAGCATTTAGTTCTGTCTTCGTGGGGCCGGCAAGCCGGCACACGGCCCTGATTCCCTCCAGCACCACCACTGAGACTTTCCAGCAGCAAATGCTGCCGTGCCTGGCCCGAGAATGACGGCCCCCGAGTGTCACCACAACCCTTTTGTCCTTATTTTAGCTTATCTGAAAAGTCAACTTGCCCGGGCTTCCTCTCAGCTGAAATTCGCAGACGCTCTACTAGCTGGCGTTCCTGATGATTCTGCGGTGTAGCTCACTGAGGCCTCTTCCCTACAAAGCTTCAAACACCAGCTTCAGCACCCACCCTCTTCACCAGTTGAGTGTGTGCCTCCTCCCGCCCAGGTGTGGTGCAGCTGATACTCCCCATTCTCCCCGGGCGCAGCCACATGCCCACTTTCCCCTGCCTAACCTCCTGCAGCGGGGACAGCAGCAGCCCCCAAAGCCAGGAGAGGAGCAGGGAGTGTGGCGGAATGATAGGCCTGCTAATTAATAGAGTTTGAGGGGCAGCACAGAAAGAAAGGTGGGCTTTGAAGAAAGTTTGGTGTTCATTCAATTTAGCTCTGGAAAAGTGTTCCGATCTCGCGCGACAATAGAATCGTGAATTTCTGTCCACAGAGATCATCACACACAAGCCAAAGAGGACAAGGATATTGGGGAAGTAAGGGAAGACTAAAATAACCACAAGGATGGAGGCAAGAGGTAAGCAGCAGTGTTCAAGAAAAAGAATTGACACAATTCTCGATAAAACACCAGATGTGAGGGGCTGGAGCAATAGCACAGCGAGTAGGGCATTTGCCCTGCACACAGCTGACCTGGGTTCGATTCCCAGCATCCCATATGGTCCCCCGAGCACCGCCAGGAGTGATTCCTGATTGCAAAGCCAGGAGTAACCCCTGAGCATCGCCGGGTGTGACCCAAAAAGAAAAAAAAAAGGCAGATGTGAGCATGTGGCTGCCGAATGCACAATTGCTGGGGATTTGTAAATACAGGCGTAAGTGTATAGCAAAGGGGGCCACAAAACCCAAAGCTGAATAACCCTAATAATGCTGATGCTAAAAAATATGCTTGGATGCAGACAACCACCTCAGAATTCATTTTCCTTTATTAACAATGTGGCTTACAAGTCTTCAAGTAGAAAGGGGTTTTCCATTTAGAATAGAAATTAAAATAGAACTCTGCTATAGATTTTATTTACATGAGAACGTATATACAGAATACAATCTTACAGCAGACAACATGCCCTTTGTCCTACAAACCTCAAAATCCAAAACACCCATTTTCCCTTTCTATGCACTAGAACATACACGACACAGGAGTGAAGCTTCCAGAAAAAAAAATTCAAAGTGGGCGGTGAGCAAGCGGACATATGCTGGCGGTCATTATGCTTCCGGGTCACGCCAGCTCCCTTCCCAACACGATTGTCCTCTGCCAATGAAGACTCTGTCCCACCCCGAGGCTATTCCAGAACCTTCTTTTTCCACGCAGACACCTCAGGAGGTGCTTTTCCCCTGCCTGAGAGCCACACGGATGCCCTGTCCCCTTGAGACCCTGGGAAGGACAGCTTCTGGGGAGAGGAAGTGAGTCCCACGTAAGAGAAGCAACCAGCGTCCGACCACACAGGGAGTGAACTCCTTTGAATTTACATAAACTCTGAACAGAAAATGATAAGAGCATCCTTCTTAGGGGCCAAGACTGCCCCCCCTTGCTTAAGCTGCTGCAGCAGATACACTCAGTGTACCTCGATATCTGCTTTAAAGGCCCTCGAGCCCCTGGTTCCCTTCAGATGCTGTCAGATTTCTACAGGGCGAGACCGCCTCTGAGCAGCAGAGCAAGCCAGGCTTCCAAGGGGCAGCATCTGCATCCAGTTCCCTATGGGAACTGGGGTTTGCACAGGAAAGTCCTCCTGCCTCCAGGACGAGGCCCGAGCCCACCTTCAGAGGAAGCCCTGGGTCACCATTCCAGACACTGCTCACGGGGACAGCGTGTCTGAGTTGAAGGCTGGGGTGGCGAGCCTGACCAAGGAATAGATCACACGAGATGGCCTTCCATGTGACAGAACCAGTGACCACCCCCCCCACCTCCCCACGGTCATGCAGCTCGCAGACTGGGTGGGGCTCAAGGACCCCAACTTCCAGGGGCGATTCTGCAGGGTGATTTCTTCCCAAGCAAAGACTTTTCTGCCCCACCCCAACTCCTTTCAGGTGGGGATTCTTGTGCGTGGGATCTTCCCCACTTGGCAGCTCTGACCCTGCGGGCAGTGAGACCCACACGCTATGATGCACTTTCGTGGCCAATACCCAGACAGCAGAGATGATGGGGGCCCCTAGGGGCCAGGGGCAGAGGTGGCTGGGATAGGGAGCAGAGGCAGGGGGAGGCCTGGCAGGCCACAGGTGATCCTATGTGGGCCTGCAGGAGACTAACTGCAGAGTGCCTGGCTGGGGGCGGATGCTGGGGAGAGGCAGGTGTGACAAGGCAGTGCTCACCTGATCTTGGGGGAATTGCTGGCCTTCAGTGGATGCAGTCGAGAGCTGGGGGGGCTGGAGGGCGCCAATGCTTCCTGACAGCGGGGGGCTGGTGTGTGTGGACACGGGCAGCCTCACCCACATCCCACGCACATTGACACCTGGTATTGCAAGGACTGAGGGTCCAGGATTCCAGGAGCTGCCCGCCCAGGAGGCCCCCTTCCCCCCTCCCCCCCAGGCTATAACCAGGCCTGAGACGGCCCCCTGCCACATGCCGTTCACCGTCCTTCTGATTCACATGCCCAGGCTCAGCCTGCAAGGCCACCACCAGGGCTCATGGGGGCGCTGCCCTACATCAGGCTGGTCCTGGCACCAGCCCCCTCGGATGGGGCCCAGCAGGCCACCTGGCGCCCCCCACTCACTCCCCACCTGAGCCCCAGCATATCCCCAGGCCCAACGCTGAAAGTGGGTGGCCAGAACCTGAGGAACCTTGGCGCCTGGCCGCATACTGTGGGCAGGGCCTCTGCATCCCGCCCGGCTCCAAGTGTGCCACGAGGGGTGGCCAGGAACCCCAGTAAGCGAGGTGCCTGGCACTCTCAGGGCCCGGTGGTGGCCGCCTCTCTGGAACAGTGGGAAGAGCAGCAGGTGAGGGCCACAGTGGCTCGGGTGGGTGGGGGCAGGGACAGGGGCCACAGCACACGCTCATGAGTTTGTCTGCATGTGGCACCACGTGACTGCTGTACCAGCATGTACCACCTGTGTGGGCACACAAGGGCAGTGCCAAGCCGACTCCCAGCGGAGTTGGCCATAGGAGAACCACCAAGCATGTCACTCTTCAAGTGAAGGGACGGGTGTGGTGTGAGCCAACCGGGGCACGGCAGCTCCCACTTCCTGTCCATCCCTCACTCGGGCCAATCCGGACTCTTCCCCTTTGGGCCTGGGCAGAGGCACTAAGGAGCTGGCAGCCGGCGTGGGCACACCTTCCCAACCCCTTCTGCCCACCTGCCTCTGAGAGCCGCAGCTTTTCCTTCTGGGGCAGAATTGGAAACGGGGGCAGTGAATGAGAAAGCTGCTGGGACCCAGGCCCCGAGGGGCTCACGGGTGGGTGGGCACCCTGGGAGTGGCCACTCACTGCCATGCCTGCTGCCCACTCCCACAGGGCCGTCTGGCCCCAGTCTGCATCCAACAGCAGCCCAAGCCCCCGAAGGACCCCCACAGCAGCCTTGGGAGGTCCCAGATACTCCAACCAGGGCCTCCTTGGCACAGCCACAGACGAGGCCGGGTGAGCCCTGGTCCTGGCATTCAGAGGCCATGTGAGGGATCTAGAAGGCAGGTTTCGGGTGCGGGTGCGGAGCAGGAAGATAGACGCGGGGCCCTGATGACTGCAGATGTCCCCACTCCCGGGCAGCCTCCTGTCCCGGGTGCAGGCACACAGCGGGGGCACCATGCCCGTGTCCCAGCGCCAGAAGGAGGTCAGTTGGCATACTGGGCGTAGAAGGCCAGCTTCACTCGCTCGATCTGGTGGCACAGCTTGATGGCGGGGCCCAGCTTCAGCTCCAGGCACTCCTGCACTGTGGGCAGCGTCAGCAGCAGCAGTGCCTGCCCGTCGATGTCCTGCAGGGACAGGTCAGGTCAGGGGGGCACAGCCGGGACCACGGGGCTGCCCTGCCAGTGGGAAGGAGCGTGGCCACCCTGCCTGGCCACTCTCAGCATCCCCACCCCCTGCAGGCCCACAGCGGCCACCTGCTCCTGGAAGATCTTGGCCAGTGGTGCGCAGTCCGTGAGCTTGATGAAGCGCACCACGTCGGTGACCGTCCACTCCAGTGGGTTGCTGTCCAGGACGAGTCTCTCCTCCTCCTCCTCTGCGGGTGGGGCGTCCTGCGGAGGGATGGGCATGGCCACTTTCCCTAGGCCCGCACTTCGGTCTCCTGGGGACTGTGAGGCACCCTGGGTCCGCCTGGGGGGACCTGGGTCTGGACTTGGAAGGGGCAGTTGGGGGGGCAGACAGAGGCTCAGCCCAGACATTTGGGGTCTGCTGAGGACTCAGCCCCATCTGACGGGCAGGGCACAGGCCACAGGCCACATGCCCCATCCAGCCTTGTGGACATAGGCCTGATCCCCATTTAACCCCGAGACGGTGGATACAGACTCTGACCCCGCCCCCCCATCCAGTCCTGAGACTGTGGACACAGGCCCGTCCTCCATTTAGCCCCGAGACCACGGTGTCCTTTTGTTGGACCGATTGTTCTCCGTGGCCGGCCCCTGCACTGACCCGGTTCTCCAAGCTATCCGAGGGCTCTAAAACATTACCCTGGGGTCTTACTCTGGGACAAGACCCCTGCAGCCCTCACTCTGCTCCTTTGGGGGCTCACACCCAGTGGTGCAGGTGACCCTGGGCCGGGTCCCTGTTGCCCCCCGCGCTCTCCCTCCAGCCGTGCTGCCGTACCTCAGCTGTGTCCTGGCCGGCTGCCAGGCCCCCCTGGACGCAGGCAGGGGGCAGGGCCCTGCGGCCCCGATGTGTCCTCTCAGGGGGCAGCTGGCATGGGGGCTTCGAGCTGCTCCTCAAGGCTGTGGCCCCGGGGGCTCGGGCAGCCAGCAGCTCGTTGGACATGTCCGTCTGGTCATCGTGGGGCTCTGAGCCACTGCCCTCGCCCATGCTCTCCTCGTCCGGGGCCTCTGCCACATTGTCCTCACTCTCCTGGAGAGATGCACAAGCATTGGGTAGTGGGGACGGGGCGGGGGGTGCCAATGGGGCTGGCATGCAGGCTAGTGGGGGACACGTACCTCCCCAGAGGCGGCCGCTGCCCCTATGGGGGACGGTTGCTGCTGCCTCTGCGCCAGAAGAGACCTGCGCCGTTTCCGCCGCCGCGCCGGCCTGGGGGGGGCCGCTGTCCATGCTGCGCTCGCCCACCGGGGGCCTGCTGACTTTCCTTCTCTTCCCGTAGCAGTAGGCTGCCAGCGAGAGGGCAGCGGTCACCGCCAGGCCAGAGCGGGGGGGGCCAGACGGGATGGGGCGAGGAGGGTGGGAGCCGAGCGGGCACCAGGTGAGGCCGGGTGGGAGGTGGCCCCCAAGGCCAGAGCGTGGGACAGCGGGAAGGGGCCCCCGCCCGGCCCCCCACTCACTGTACTTGGTCTTGGTGTACGTGGAGCAGTTCTCGGGGCAGTGCTCGGCCACCTGCATGGGGCTGAAGAGGTTCGGGCAGCACTCCAGCCGGGCACACACGCGCCGGCAGAAGGCTGCCACCTGCGCAGCCGTGCGGACGATCTTGGCCACAGCCCGGTAGGTTTTACCTCTGTACCTGGACCCCGGGGGGGAAGGAGCTGGTCAGTGGACCTGCAGGTTTCCCTGCAGTCCCTGCTGTGTCTTGGCCCTGCAGATGCATGGGGCTGGGGTCACTCCCGGACATACCCAACCTGGCCTACAATGCCCCCTGGGCTGGCTGGCCGGCGCTTGGAGTGTGAGGTGTGGAGGAAGGAATTTAGTCTCTGAGTATGAGGACGGACGGGCACCCCTGATGCGAGGCATCTGCCGGGCTCTACCCACATGAGGGGGATGACGGCGTGACTCCCTGGGCACGGCCACTCACTTAGCCTTCAGCGTCTCCTCCTGGAAATCCCAGTGCGGGTCCTCGACCAGTTGCAGCTCACGGAGCACCTGGCCGGGCTTGTAGGCCGCGTTGATGATCATGCCAAGGACCTGCGGATGGGAGGCGATGATGGATGATGACCCCTCATGGCCCTGCTGACGGTCAGTGAAGCAGAGGAGGGGACGGGACACTCTGTGGGCCCCGGCGGGGTTGCCACAGGCCAGACACATGGGGGGCAGGAGGAAGCAGCCCAGTCCCTGGACTAGAACAGGGTGGGGGGGGGCCCTGGTCTGGGGGAAACCAGCTCCTGCAAAGGGCCCTGGGGGCCACTGCCAACCTCCGTCCACCCTCATCGCCTCACTTGCTCACCAGGAGGCCCCATGGCACTCCCTCCCAGCATCTATCACCCAACCCTGAGCCCCAGACCCGTCCGTGTCTGCACCAGAACCTATCGCAGCTGTCTGGACCCTCGGCAGGAACGTGGATACCCTAGTGGGCAGGGCAGGTCACTCTGGGCCAATGGTCATGGACACTACTGTCCAACACTGACCCTCAGAACTGTGTACTGCAGGGCCTCCTCTTCAGGCGGGCGGCCATGGGGAGGAAGGCCCGAGTCTCTGAGGGTCCGCAGAATTCCACTAGAGTCTGAAGTGGGCCCTGCCTTTGTCTCCCAGAACCCTCTCGTGGCCCCAGGGTAGCCAGGGGTGCAGGGCCACGCAAGGGGCATGGCCTAGGGCCCGCCCAGGGAGGCAGGGAGACTCCCGCATCCCGGCCCTTCCACACTGTCCTTCCCAGAAGCCTACCCTCGCTTGTCTGAGCCCCAGGCACCCTCGGCGGAATCTTCCAGAACCCTACTGCTTACAGCTCATGCTCCATTCGGGAGAAACGTGCAGGGGATCCCTTGGGGTAAGAGTGTGCAGGACATTGGGACGCGGGAGGCGCCTGACCCGAGTCAGCATCTCATGTGACCCCACCAAGCGTACCCATGACCCCGTGGAACTCACCTCCTTGAGGACCAGCACGCACTTGCCAGGCCCCACGGAGCGCGGCAGCTCGGCGAGGCGGCCCTTGTTGAGGTAGGGGCCCGAGAAGCAGCGGTGGTTGATGAAGAGCTGCGGGCAGCAGTACTTGCCATTGGCGGGGCCTGCCAAGAGAGCTGGGCTCAGTGCTTAGAGGCCGCTCCTGGCAGTGCCCGAGGGTAAGGCCTGAGCCAGACCCCTGGGGCATCTCCCCAGCCCCGGGTTGAGACTGCAAGCAGCTCAGGAGTCCTTTCCCCTAAGGTCCTGAGAACCGTCTCAGGCCACAGGACAAAAAGCAGAGCAGAGAGGCCCGAGTTGCAGAGGCCTCTGTTGACGCCAAAGGAAGACCAGGTGCTGGGAGCCCACCGGACCGGAGCCACCCACTGTCTCCCCGCCTCATCCCCCAGGATTCTCTCACCTGTGGCGTCCAGGTGAGGCAGTACACAGAGTTCTCTGTGCGGTATCCTCTCCACAGGCACTGAGGAGGGAGAGCTGTGGGCAGAGAGAACGAGAGCGTCCTGGGCCCGAGCAGCAGCCAGCATGCCCCGAGCTTCTGTTCTCAGAGAAGGATCCAGCAGGGTTAGATGTTGTGTGTGCAGGTGAGTGCCTACCTGCACGTGTGCCTGTGTGTACATGTGTCTGTGCACGCATGTGTGTGCATGCATGGAGGCCACGTGTCTGCATGTGCACGCATGCCTAGATCTCAGTACACACACGTGGTGCCTGTGCACACGCATGTGAATGTGAGTGTCCACGCATCTGCACACACCGAGTGCAGCAGTGGAAATGACATCACCCTGGAGGGCGATTCTTGGATCTGCCCAGGTACCCCCAGAAGCCCCCAGCCCTGCCCTGCTTAGGGGTCCCGGGCACGAGGGCCTGGGGCTGTTGGGCTTGCCTTGAGTCGTGGAGGGCAGTGGCGCCTAATCCCCCCTCCTGGTCTAAGGGCAAACATGCTCCAGGCCGTCTTCCAGGGCTCCAGGCTCCTCCCCAGGGGGGGCTCTGTGGGGACCCAGGGGCCCAGTAAACCACGTACAGAGCAGGAGGGCCAAGGGGCACTGGCTCCCAGGGCAGAAGCCACCGGGGAAGGAAGGGAAGCAACAGACAGCTGGGCCTGCAGCATTGCTCAGAGACGCCCTGGCCCCTGCCTGAGTGAAGAATGGGGTCGACAGGGCCCAGCACACACACACACACACACACACACACACACATACACACACACTTATACAGACACACATATATACAGACACACAAAGGTACAAAGACACAGACACACATAAACACATATATACAGACACACACACATACATATACAGGCACATAGACACATACAGAGAACACACTGACACACACATATATAGACATACAGACACAGACACAGAAATACATACATACACACACAGAGAGACACACACATATACAGGCAGAGACACACCAAGACACACAGACACAGACACAAACACAGACACACAAACATATATACACAAACACAGACAGACAACACACATCTACAGGCACACAGACCCATACATAGAGACACACTGAGACACATAAACACATATACAGACACAGACACACACAGAAACACACATATATACAGACACAGAGAGACACACATATAGGCACACAGGCAAATACACACACATACATTTATACAGACACACATATATACAGACACACACACAAAGGTACAAAGACACAGACACACATAAACACATATATACAGACAGACACATACATATACAGGCACATAGACACATACAGAGAACACACTGACACACAGAGACACACATATATAGACATACAGACACAGACACAGAAATACACACATACACACACAGAGAGACACACATATACAGGCAGACAGAGACACACCAAGACACACAGACACAGACACAAACACAGACACACAAACATATATACACAAACACAGACAGACAACACACATCTACAGGCACACAGACCCATACATAGAGACACACTGAGACACATAAACACATATACAGACACAGACAGACACACACAGAAACACACATATATACAGACACATACAGAGAGACACACATATAGGCACACAGGCAAATACACACACACACACACACACACACACAGCCAGTCTAGGAGTGAGAATTCAAACCTGACCTGAGCTACTGGTGCAAACTGGCTGTCCCGTTTCCCTGTGAAACTGTAGCTGGAAGTAACTCCCGGTTACATCTAACCCTGAGTTTAGAAACCAAGAGTGCCCCCAAACTGCTGCTCCATTCAAATCCCAACATGGTTTGACTTGGCTTCGTCCTACTGAAATGCGACTTCAGCTTGACCCGGGCGTGGGGTCAACAGTGCTCTGGGGCTGTTTTTATGAAGGAAGCGGAACTCCTGGCGGGAACCTGCACTACCTCTGTGCTCTTACACAAATACCCAGTCAGCGCCCCCACTGACGCCCTTCAATCAGGGTCCCCCAGTCACTCACCCTGGAATGTAACTTAATTCTCCTATAACCCTGCTACAATGTAACAGACTGCAACTGAGATTTCAGACGGCAGAGTTGCTGTTTGCATCCCCTCTGCAGGCAGCATGACTTCAGCAAGTGTGCTGGTGATGTCATGGTGGCTGCTGACGTCCGGGTCATGGCAGTGCCTGGCCCAGTCTTCTCCTCGAAGGGCCAGACACCTGCAGGGTGTTGAGGGTGTTGCAGGGCTCCCCCGTTAGATCAGGCCTGAGTGTCCCCCAGGAAGCCTGCGAGGGGCATTTACGCCTTCTGTCCCCCTGCTGACCAGGAAGTGCCACCCTGCCTCCGTCCTCTGCCAGGACACACGACCGTCCCCTATGCTCTGAGTGGGAGAAAGGAACTCACTGTTTCTCTGGTTGCACCACCGCAATCTTCCTTTGCTTCTGTGCTGTGGGACAGGCAAGAAGGAGGGAAACACAGTCAGCCTCGCTCGTGGGCGGGGAGGGCGCATCTGAAACAGAGCTCAGCCTTTTCTTTTTTTCATTTATGTGTCCCTCTTTTCTTAATTAAAGAACTGTGATTTACGAAGTTACCAACAGTTGAGTTTCAGGCCAACCCAAGCCTACCACCTGCGTAAGCTTCACCTCCCCCACTGTCCCCATTTTCCCTCCCACTGCAGCCCCTGCCCTGTCCCCCTGTCACCCTGAAAGTCTCCTGACAAGGTTTCAGGGTTGAGCTTAGCTCTTGTGTCTTCAGTGTTGCTGTGTTTGGGTCTGTGGCTCTACTCTCACTCCGTCAGGCATAACTGAAGCCCCGATGCCTGCTCATCCATTATCCCCGCTCTCTTCTCCCTAGATTCTCTCCTTCCCCATCCTCCTCCCTAACCATCGGGGCCCGGGGTGGGGGGTATCCAAGCATCCCCTTTACTACAGTGCATTTCCCCATCCAGTATTCTATACATCACAAATAAGAGATCATCCTGTGTTTACCATTTTTCTTCTGGCTTACTTCACACAACTTCCAGTTCCAACCAGGTGGTAGCAAATTGCCCAATTTCATCATTCCTCGCAGCTACCTAGTGTTCCACCGTGTATCTATATGCCACATCTTCATAATCCATTCATCGAAAACAACTCAGTTAAAAATCACAATTTTTAAAATTGTGATTTCATTCCTGCCCCCCTTTTATTTCTTCCAGCATAAAACTGACCTTGATGCATCAGAAACGAGGACTCAGGAGAATGTGGTGTATTTATTCCTATCACTCAAGCGGCCAGTCTCATATAAAACATGTGTGTAACAAGAAGAAACCGTGCCCTCAGTGACCAGACACTGAAAGAGAGCGCGGGAAGGGACGACTCTCCAGAATGCCTTTCCTCCCGCAGGAAGCAGGAAGGCAAACACTCTCCAAGCAGCAGACACCCGTCAAGTTTAATGATGTGTTCTTACACGAAAACATTTTATTACTGGCGGGTGGATGGGTGCCGAGTGAGTCTGTCTGTGACGTAAGCGAGCCAGCTATGTTTGGGGTACGGACAGCTCCAGTTTATGCTTGTAATAGATCAGAATCACCAAGTCCAGACCCTTTGGCATCTCTCAAGTCTGGCACAGACAGGCTGTGTTTCCCCACACGAGCATCAGTTAACTCCAGAAAAGGTTTGAAAGCTGTCAAGAGATTGGCAGGGCTGGGCTAGAGTACTTGCTTCTTCAAAGCAGAATGGGAGTGAGGATAAAGATGCCTGAGAGAGGCTGGAGCAATAGCACCTTGGGGAAGGCGTTTGCCTTGCACGCAGCCAAGCTGGGTTCGATTCCTAGCACCCCAGAACCACCAGGAATTCCTGTGTACAGAGCCAGGAGTAACCCCTGTGCATCACTGGGTGTAACCCAAAAAGAAAAAAATAAAAGACGCCTGAAAGCTGCCAGTGTGGGGTCACCTGCCTGTTCATGGTCTTCGCATCCAGACGCTGGCAAGGACAAGTGGGAACCTGCCATCCAGGTGGGAAGTGAGCAGAAGACGACTGGCTACTGATGGGGAGGGCATGCCCCATGGTGCTCTGGGGTGAGTGCTCAGGACGAGACACACAGGCAGCTCCCACTTGGGCCCGGGGATGCTGCAGACTCGGTGAGAACACAGCCACGAGGGAAACAGGCTCTCAGCTCTACATTTCTCAGGGAGATCGGGGAGAGGGGAAGGCGGCTCCTCGAAGGGCCAGGCTCCTTGACCCTCCGGAGCCAAGTACAGAGAGGAGCCCCCTAGAAGTCACCTTGACCCACCCTCTGGACAATCAAGGCCTGTCAAGCAGAAACTATCCACCCTGCTGAAGCACTGTCAGTGACTGTCATGGACGCACCTTCATAAATCTGCTGACAGCTGGCTCTGGGAGGCCAGCGAGGAAAGGAACTCCCTCCCGGGCAGATGGGGCCTGTGGTGGGGGCTGGAGAGAAGGCGCGCTTGCAGATGAAGCACAGGGAGAAAGTACTAGAATATCTTTCACGGAAATGAAAACCCTGTCTCTTTAAGGGATGGCAGTTTTAAATAGTGCCCCCAGTTCACCTTAGGGTCAAAGCAGAAATGTCAACGGTGATCAGTCTTGAAGAGTTTTAAGTGGGATCATTAGGTGGCAATGGTCTATAAGAACATTAGCATAGTGTGTGTGTGTGTGTGTGTGTGTGTGTGTGGTATGCGTGCGCACGCTGATTTGTAGTTTCTTTGTTCAAGGTGTGTGTGTGTATGCACAGTGATACGGAGTTTCTTTGCCTGGTGCGTGTGTGTGTGTGTGTGTGTGTGTGTGTGTGTGTGCATGCCTATGTGTGCGTGCGTGTGTGTGTGTGTGTGTGTATGCCAATATCCCAAACCTCTGCCCACCCGATGTCGCCCCCAGCTCACTCACTCGCCGTCTTGAGGGGTGTGGTCAGAGGGTAAGCGTTGGCCTCGCACCAGCCCACCGGGAAGATGTCCATGGACTCCACGTCCACGATGAACTCGGGCACGGGTGTCTGGAGACCTGCAGGGAGAAGGCAGGCACAGGTCGGGTCAGGACAGAGAGTGAGGGGAGAGACATAGGGTGGAGGCGCGGGGCAGGCAGGCCCTGCCCTTCCTCAGAAGAGTCTCGAGGTGAATCAGATGAGGTGGAGGGGGTGGGGTCATGGATACTTAGTAGCTACCCAGACTGCATCTAGGGTAACCCTTAGCATGAGGGCACTGACCATCACACCAGAAGGCAACAGGAGACTGCAGCAATGGGCATTTCTCTGACCATCATACTGACTGCTTACTGACCATCACACTGATCAACACATTGACCATCACACTGGTGTGTGATGCTCTAGAAGACTCCAGTAATGAGAGACTTCTCTGACCATCACATGGACAATCCACTGACTGTCTACTGCACACTGATCATCACACTTACTGTCCACTGACTGTCACATTGATCGACCACTGACCATTCACTGAACCATCACACTGACCATCACAATATCACACTGACCATCCCACTGACTAGCCACTGACTGTCACACTGATCATCCACTGACCGTCCACTAAACCATCAGACTGACCATTACACTATCACACTGACGATCCACTAACTGTCCACTGACTGTCACACTGATCATCACACTGACCATCACACTGTCACACTGACCATCCCACTGACTGTCACACTGACTTTCCACTGACCATCACACTGACATCACACTGTCACGCTGATCATAGCACTGACCACTACACCATGACACTGACCATCCCACTGACCATTCACTGACTGTCACACTGATCGTCCACTGTACACTGACCATCACACTGACCATCTCAAGGCCCTAGAAGATTCAGTGACTCAGGAATGAGACCGCCTCCCTTGGTTTGAGTAGATACTTAAGAAACTACTTCAGCATCACCACAGAGCAAAGGGAAAAGAGAAGACCTGGGGCTAATGGGAGCAGGCTGGCCACGTAACCTAGAGCACAGACACCAGTAAGAGGGGAGACACAGAAAACACACTGAGGCAGTGTCCAGAAAATACCGGGGAAGATGCGAGAACCAGAGTCCAAAGATGGAGCTCGGGCACTCTCGGAGCAGGGGCCAGAGTCGCTCAGCTGCTCGGTCGCTACCCAGAGAACAGGAGAGGAGGGGAGTCGGCCCCATGGCACGCCCATGTCCCCACACAACAGCTGGTGCCTCCCATCATGCCTCCCCCAAATCCTAACTTCATAATCCGCAAACAGAGAGGGTCGCCCCATGGCACCCCAGTGCCCGCCTGCAGTGCTCTGGAATTCCTCCCCCAGCCCTAAAGTACAAGTTGTAAGGATGTTCTTTGATAAGCCCAGGTTCCTGATTTAGTGCCGAACCAGCACACAGGTGCACGGAAAGTGCTGGAATGTTCCACGGCAGTTCCATGACAGACACATCCCTGTTTGGTCACTCTGCACGTTTGTTTTCAGAGAAAGTGAGTGTGAGGCTGACACTCTGTTTGCTAAACTCCCGCAGAAGCAGAAAGATAGAGAACACAGGTGACACAGCATGATCACTGCCCAACACGGCTCAGCCAACAGCAACCATTTCTGCTTCATGTTACGTGACTCATGTTTCATCCCATCACCAAAGACGTCTTCAAATAAGCAAGAGATTCAAAACCAACTAAGGGAGAGTGCTCTCCCAGGCAGCCCTGAAACAAGACCTCAACTTAGTCTTCAGAGCAGACTCCCCCAGGGGGCCAGTGAGGGGGTCCCAAGTCTTCCTCCCTACACAAGGGCACCTTCTCATCTTCAGACTAACAGACACAGGGCATGTTTCTTAGCGACTCAAACCCTCCGCTGGCAGCCTGGGTGGACGCATCTACCGGGGATCTCTGCATGTTCGTCTTCATGTCTGGGCACAGAACAGATTTTCAAGGTCAGCATCTCAGCACAGCAGGGACTGGGGCTCGTTCACCCCTCGCATCAGACGAATGATGACAAGCCTCGGCTTCCAGGCCCACAGGAGCGCCTTGGGAGGCTGTTGTGCCCACGCTCGAAAGCGCTTTGATCTGAGCTGGGAAAGTGTGTGGCTCGAGTGAACAAGGTACCTTCCAGCAACAACACAACCAGCAACTCCTTCCCGAGTGCCAGCAAGTCTTCAGCCCTGTCCTGTCTCGTCCCAGTTCCAGCCCTGGGGACTGATGGGAAGGGGTTGAAAGTTTTCCCACCTCTGACCTGTTTGTAAATACTGATGCTTCCTTCGCTCCCTCAACATTCTAAGCTGGACAGACTCAGAATTACCCTTGAAAAATTACCCTCTGCTTGCTGAATGGTCCAGTGGTGTACAAATGAAACAATGAAAAGGTTAAGCAGTGCTTTCTTGGTTTTCCTAGAAGTTTCAAACTACCGATGCCACACTCCAAGCTTTACCGTGGACCAGAGCAATTCTAATATTGCTACTCCGAGCCCCACCAGGAGTGATTCCTGAGCACCACAAGGAGAGGACCCCAAACAAACAAATAAGCAGAGATAAGAAAGTGACCAGAAAGCAAAGCATGCTGACTCTGGGGCCCACAGCAAGCGCGGAAGCTGGACGCAGAGGGGAAGCAATGGGAAGAAGCCCTGTGCTCTGGGTCTCCAGAGAACATCCATATAGAAGTGCCCTACCTTGTCTTCCTTGCCAAACACAAGCCCCATCCCTAACAATGCCCCCCACCGCCACGACACCGACATCTTCATCCAGCACCCAGCACACTAGCTCCTTTTAAAGGTCCTTAAAACAGCTATCTCACTTCAAGAAGTCAAATATTCAATGAAAACCATCATTCAAATGACCTAAAAGTGGTCAATTAGCCATGTGTTGACAAGATTTCAAGCCAATTTAAAGCATAAAAAAACCCTCGTTCATCGTCATGAAGTGCTTCATAAATCTCAAGTGTTGAACAAATGGCACCATCGGAATAACCATGATCATAAAGATAATTGAACAGACCCTTAGTGACCAGAGCAAATCACTGACCTTCGTCCCAGGACTGAGCCAGCTGCTGAGATAAGGAAGCAGACAAGCCCTGAGTCCTAATCTCTATCCCTTTAGCAGGCAAATGTTCCAGGCAGCAAAGGGGAAAAACAACAACAATAAAGAATGAAAGAAAACCTGACCCAAGCAACATCAGGAGACCAAATGGAATTTTATGCGTGTGCGTTGATTTTTTTATAGTATGAGACATACGCACGCACCGTCTTGAGCAGTATCCTAGATGGATAATATCCACAGATATTATCCAATTTCTAATTTCCTTTCCATGCTGAACCAATTTCCTTTGAATACCCAAGTCTGAAGTGGTGGACTTCCGATGCATCTTCTGATGTTTTCTAAACTAATCTCAGGATGACAGGAGGGAAGTGTGGGGTTGGGGGGGGGGGGGGGGGAACACGAGCCTCCACGATGGATGCAGTTCTTTGTGAGAAAGTTCTCTCCAAATACAAACAACATGGGGGAAAGATAGTCTGAGGGATGCCACACGTTGCTTCCTGTTGTGTTTCCTAAGACTCGGGAGAGAGCTGCAGGGTCGGTGAACTTAGCCATGAACATGATGGCCAGCGTGGTGGGCTGGGAGGAAGCTGGCATGCCCGACACTGAGAAGCACTCAGGGACAGCAAGAGGGTCCCTCCCCTCAACACCAACAGTGTGAGGCCATTAATAGCTGCAAAGCGTTGGGGAGTGCAGGCTGCTAAATAAATAAAGACCACTGAAGAAATGTAACTGAACAGGCTGAAAAAATGTAACTGAATGTGATTTGGAGACATGGGCTCCAAATCGTACCATTTTCTGTTTTCACATTAACACTGTAAACAAGACTCCCATCTCCTGACAAGGCATAGCCGCATCTAAGGTGGCAAATTCCATTTAAGGATTAGGAATGGGAGAGGATCTTGCTTCTCCAAGGGCAGTTGGCTCAACTTGGCTAGTCATAATGTAAAGTTCTGAGCGACACCAGAGATGCTTTTCAGCTCTTCGTCTAATCTTAGCTAATTCCAGCTTGCAGTCCTACTTCCTTGGAATTCCACTCAGCCATCAACTTTGGGAGCATTTCCTTTTATTTCAAATGGATTTTGAAATCCTAAACCACAGCAGGTTTGAAACTAATTTCTGGGAATTAGTGACACAAAGGAAGTACAGCTACAAGCACTGGAGACCCCGTGTAGGTACTCTACACCTTTCAAGGTCATATCACACCGGATCTGACCTTCACCATTAGGAAAGAGACACAGCACCCACAGTATTATCCTCTAAGCTTCCTATGTCAGGGTGGTCCGAGCATGGTGAAGAATGAACCTGCAGACCAGGAGAGCTGACATTAGGACACTGTTCACACTGTCTTGTTTTTCTGTGGGTATCACCAACACTGAGGAAGGGTTATGAAAACGAACAAAAATGAAACTAATAAACAAATATCCATTTTAAATCAGGGGAGACCGGGGGAAACATCAGATATCTAATTTGTTTACATTCTTTCTCATTGAAAATAAAATCTAAAATAAAGTCTTCTATTAAGACCCTAAACCTGATCAAGATATTTGCCCTTTACTTCTGCTTACAAAACACGTGATTCTGAAAAATGTCTGTACAATCATACATAACATGTAGCTTTGATACAGAACAGTTTAAGTATCATTAAACAAACAAGTCTAAACCCTGGTTATTATCTATCTGAAGAGAAAGTCATTTCTGGTTACTATTTTAAGGGGGGAAAACCCCACAAGAACCTCTTGGAAGAAACCAAAGTAAAGGGTATTCTTCACATTAAAATTTACCTTTGTACTTTTATCCTATTAATAGCCAAGACCTCAAATACCCGTTTTAGTGACTCATATTAATTTAATTGTGACATTAGCACTCATAATCATAGATGTAAAGAGTCCTCTGTATTCCAAACATAATCATCCCCTCCCCCTCGGAATCTCATTTCATGGACTTATTAGTTCAGATGAGCGCCTCTGAATGAATTTCTATTTGATTAGCTTCACCTATTTAAGAACACTGAATAATTTAAGATGTTTACCTAAAGGGAGAGTGACGCTCTCCGGAAGATCTGTTCCCCCAACGTGCCCCAACGTGCGTCTCTACGTACCCCAATGCGCCCCAACGATGCGCCCGAACGCACCCCAACGTGCTTCCTAACGCACCCCGACACGCCCAAACGTGCGTCCTAACGCACCCTGACGTGCGTCCAAACGTGCGTCCTAACGCGCCCCAGATGCACCCGACACACCCCAACGTGCACTCGCACGTGCCCCCTAGGTGCCCCAACGTGCGCCTGAATGCGCCCCGACCTACCTTCCAGGTGAAGCCACAGCAGCCTCCCCTTCACGCCCACCACCGAGGCCACGCACAGCTCCCGGGGGTTCCGGGGGTTCACGGCTTCAAGTTTCATGTTCTTTGTGAAGCCTCGGCTGAACGCAGTCTGAAAGACAGAGACGTGGCCCCAAGTTTCAGACACGGTGTGAGCACAGGAGACACACACACACACACACACTCAGTACACATACACACCTGCACACTCACAATACACACACTCACACAATACATACACATATGCACTTACACATGTAACACATAACTCAAATATAAATATGCACACACAATTCAAATACACACATGCACACTAACACACATGCACTCACATAATACATGTGCACAGACTCATGCACTCACACAATACACTCAAACATGCAACACACACAACAAATACACATATACATACAATGTACACAATATAAGTGCACACCTGCACACTCACAATACACACACATGCACTCTCATACTATACTCCCACATGAAACACAACACAAATATACATTGCATAGTCACATATACAATACAAATACACACATGCACACTCACATCACACAATATCCATGCACACATGCACTCACATTCACATGCAACACAACACAAATATACATACACAATACAAATACACATATGCACATGCACACTGACAATACACATGCACACAGACACACATACACTCACAAACTCACATATGCAACATATACAACACAAATATACATATGTACACTCAATACAAATACACATATGCACACACACGCACTCTCATACATGCAACACAATTCAAATATATACATATACTCACAGTATACATACATACATAACACAACACACATGCAACATACAATACAAATACACATATGCTCACATACTTGCACTCACACAATACACATACACAGGACAATACAAATACACACATACACACTTACATACTCATGCAATACACATACACATATGCTCACACACAGGCACTCACACAATACATACACATGACACATAATACAAGCAACACACATACACAACATAAATACATGCACATACAATACACACAATATACATAATCACACACATATGCACTCATGCATATTCACATTCACACATGCTTACTCATGCATACACTCACACACATATGTCCCCCAACCACATTTAGTCACTGCAACAAGACAGTGAATACACTCATACATCCAGCACTCACACACACACACACACACACACACTCGTACACACCCACTTACCCATGCACACTGTCTCACACACACCATGACAAGACAGTGAAACATGCACACACACGTTTGCACAGTGACAGGATAATGAGATCCAAGAATATACAAACCCATGCACTGCTCTGAAGTAATGGACCACACATAATCACAAAGTTACATTACACTCACATACATACACAAACACACAGGCACATTACACCCATACATATCACATTACACCCACACATACACAGCCACATCACTGCCACCCGGCCCCACACAATCACATTACACCCACATACACACACAGTCGCATCACCCCCACCCATATTCCCACACACATATGCTCACATTACACTCACACGCTGCTATAACTCACCTGCCCCTTCACCCACTAGCTTACCACACACAGTCCTCCTCTGCGGGCACAGGGGCCCACGCATGTCATTCCCAGGTTTCCGTCCCCTGGGAGTCCAGAGTGAGGACTCTACTTGGGGTGTCCGTGGGCGAGCAGCCTCCAGGGCTGTGCCCCTTCCTTGCTCTCCCCCTCTCTGTGGGCACTGCCTGGCCCGGCCCAGCTCCGGCTCGGGCAGGAGCACCGCTCACTGAAGCTGTTTGTGTGTGCCTGTGCTGCTCTCGGCCCCCTGGCTCCCGTGTTCTCCAGCCAGACCGTGAACGCGCACTTTTAGGGCGGGATTTGCTTTATGGTGTGTGTATTGTATGTGCATGTATTTATGTTGTGTATGTGTGTTGCTTGTATTATGACGCTATTCAGGTCTCCCAAAGAAGAATAGAAAGAGCTATGCTTGGAATATCACGTTTCACTCAAATGAGAGAACGAATCTGGAGTTCTGACATCCGTCGACGATCAAGGATCAGGGACGCTGTCTCATTTGCCAAGGTGTCGAAAATCAGATGGGCTGGTCACGTAATGAGATTTAAAGACGACCGTTGGACTAGAGCTGTTACTGATTGGATTCCACGGGATGTCAAGAGACCGCGTGGCCGCCCACCTACCAGATGGTCAGACTTCTTCGTCAAGATCATGAACGATCGGTTTGAGGCCCTTCATGTTCCTGGAGCGAACAGATGCCATTGGGCTACACTAGCACGCGACAGGGACAAATGGAGACATTACTGGCGCCCGCTCGAGCAAATCGATGACTAACGGGAAGTTAAGTGATTAAGTGATTAAGCTGTTCTCTCTGCAGCTTCATCACAGGCCCTAGCAGGACCGAGGAACGTGTCCTGTCCCCACGTGGTTCCTGGGGCCCTCTGGACACCACTGGCTTCCTAACTCCTCCTGGGAGTAGGAAGGGCTCCATTCTGGGCTCCGCATTTCCATGACCTCAGATAACAGGGTTAGACATCGAGTTTTGGGCGCTCTGGGTACTCCTACACATCCCGGCAGCTCTTGAGTCTTATAGCAGGCGGCTGCCCGGGAGGGACCACACTGGGGACCACAGGCTCTTTCCAGCTCTCAGCCTTGGCCCAAGATGCTATAAACCCTCATGCACGAATTCTCATGGGAACCCAGTGCCCCTGACGTTGTCTTGGGGCTGCCACAGCAAAGGCGCTCCTCGGGTCATTCGTGCGAGCAGCAGGCTGGTCCTGCCCGTCTCATGGCCTTTCCTGTGCCCGCATCCTGGACTTCTCTTCCCTGCCTACCTCTGTGGAAACCCAAACTCAAACCACAGCCCTCTGCTGAGGTCCCAGGGTCTGGCGGACACAAGTGGGCCATCGACCACGTTTTCACTGCTCGAGAAGCAGCATCAAGGGCTACTTTGTAAGAAAATGCCACTTCAGTCACGCCACTTTCTCCTAGCACCTGCTCCCTCCACGCCCCCTGCTCCTCCCCATGGCCAAGGAAGTTGCCTTATTCCTATTCCTTCCTACCATCTGGGCCATGCCCACTATGTGCATTCCCTCCACCCAGGCTGGAAGCAAAATTCACTCCTGATATTTAAAAGTAAATATCATATCGCTCACTGCTATAAATTTTAACAAGTTTGACAAAATAGTATGACTGCGTCTATTTTGGGCTGGAGCAGTAGCACAGTGGGTAGGGTGTTTGCCTTGCAAGCAGCCAACATGGCCGACCCAAGTTTGATTCCTCCGCCCCTCTTGGAGAGCCCAGCAAGCTACTGAGAGTATCTTGCCCACATGGCAGAGCCTGGCAAGCTACCCGTGATGTATTCAATATGCCAAACACAGTAACACTTGTCACGGTGGAGATGTTACTGGACCTGCTTGAGCAAATCGATGAACAATGGGAGGACAGTGACAGTGACAGTGTCTATTTTGAAATGTATGAACTGAGATCAGGCAACGGGCTCCCGTAAGCAGCCCAGGTTACGCCCTTTTTGTGACCAGTGAAAAGAAACTGGAGCAGTGGGCTGACCCATCTTTCATATAGGCTGAGCAGAAGATGCTATGACCTCTCTACGGAACCAACATGAAACTCTGCAGTGGCCGTGAAGACCCGATGTGCCACTTTCCTTTTGTTCCTTTGGGAACTGGGAGGAAGGATGCTCCAGGCAGGCTATTTCCTGTGACCCACTGTCTGCCTTCCTGAGTGCCGGTGCACACAGCTGCCCAGCTGCTCACAGCTTCACGGCTGCCTGCAAAGCCTCTCAGTCAGTGCAAATGCACTGCTTAGCTAGGGAAAATTACAACCACACGACCTCTTTCCACCCCAGTTGGCAGCCTAAGGGTAATTTATAAAGGATCAATAACTAGCCCACTGCCGGTGCTTGTGTTTCATTCGGCCTCTGCTGGGTGGCTTCATCCCGGGTCCACCCTGAGTGTGAGATATCTCCTGGCCCTGCATTTCACCTCTCCTGAGGACACCTGAGTTGTGTGGTTAAAACTGAATCCATAATAAACCTCCCATTCAGAAGCACTTGCAGCGAGCTCACCACACTCGGCAAAGTACTGGGGATGTGCTACAGCTGCCAATGGGCGGCAACCACGCAACGGGAACAAAGGAAGCAGGTGCTTTCCCAAGGGATATGCGGCACTTCGGCTGGGCAGCCAGACCCTGGGGCTCAGGGGGCGCCTGGATGAGGCTGGGGCTCCAACCATTCAATCCACGCAAACAAGTGCTGGTTGAAAGGGAGCAGAAACTGACCCCCTGGGCATGGCCGCAGCAACGGGCCACACGCACACGAGGGGAAGGGCAGGATTTTCCTCCCTGCACTAACTAGGGCCAGGAGCAGCTCTGTCCAGGCTTGTTTGGCCTCCAGCTGTGCCCAGGAAGCAGCTATCTCCTTCACAAGTCCACAGGGCCAAAGGGGTCTGCAGAGCTGCGCCTGTCTCCTGGAAGCCCCTGCAGAGAGCACATTCGAGAACACGAGCACCCAACTGGGGGCACCGTGCCGGGGGGCCTGCAGCCCCACTGGGGCCAGGGACTGGCGCGGCAGGGGTGAGTCACCGTCTCTCTTCACAGCTCTGAGGGGGGATGAGTTGAGACGGTCATTCCTGAACGACTGATACAAGAAACTCCTGTCACAGTTAAGCCAAGGCACACACGTGCAAACACACACACGTACATACGCATGTATGCACCCATATGCACAAACACGCAAACACACATGCATACACGCGCACACACAAATACATGCACACATACATACACATATGCATGCAAGCACACACACACACAAATAAATACATGCACATACATGCGCACACACCCGCACGCACCCATACCCACACACACAGATACTATAATACACCAGTAACTCTTTGAGAATGAGGAAGGGACTTAGCGTAAGGAGAGCCCAAAGTGGATTCCGAGAAATGAGGATGCTTATGCTTTAAGACTCTGTTTCATCCCCCTGCGTTGGGGCCACACCTGGCAATGCTCAGGGCTGACTCCCAGCTCGGCACTCAGGAGTGACTCCTGGCTGTATGGGAAGCTGGGGATCGAGCCCAGGCTGGTCACGAGCAAGGCAAGTACCTTACCTGCTGTGCTATGGCTGTGGCCCCAAGACCCTTGTATTGATGTGGGGGGGTCTTCCCAGGGGGACTCAGGCCAGGCAGCTCCTGGTTACCCAGGAGGCCGCTCCGTGTTGAGAAGGGGAGGTGCCGCTTACGTTTCTGAAGCAGAAGGCTGGTGCCTCCTCCGTGCCATGCTGCTCATGGTAGTCGGCCCAGTTGAAAGCCCGGCCAGCATAGCCTGCACAAAGTAAAGGAGAGCACGTGAGGTGGGCAGGGCAGGGGTGGTGGCTGGGACCCAACAAGGATGCCTGTGCCTCAGGCAGAGCCTTCTCAGCAGGGAGCCTGTCCTCGTAGGGTCCCTCTCCCTCTCTTCCCTTCACCTGGCATGTGTGCATACATACAGCCCTAGCATGTGTGTGCTCACACATACACTCCATCACATGTGCTGACACACAGTCCACCATGTGTGTACTCACACACACACACTCCATCTCGTGTGCGCTGACACACACACTCCATTGTGTGTGTGTGTGTGTGTGTGTGTGTGTGATATAACAAATCCATCCTGAGGTGCAGGCAAGCCTTGGAAAGACGCTGCTGGGGCCCATGCTCAGGTATGCAAGCGGCCGTGGGGGGTCAGCTGTGCCCCGAGCAGTCGCCTGGTTTGAGGGGGAGCGAGAGAAATCTCGGATTTCCTGAATCCTTCTCAGGGCCTCCTGACCACCTCCTTCCCCAGACACCTGCTGCTCACTGGGCCTTCGGCTGCCGCAGCCCACGGTCTCAGGGTACGCCTGGCTGCCCTGGGGAAACGGAGGCCCCGCAGCCCTTCTTTCCATCTGACCCTCACCAGGAAACAGTTTGTTCCTTCACTTACTGAGCTCAGATGATGGATAGGGGAGGGGCCCACGGGGGGAGTAGGGAGGTGCTCCTGCTGCCGTCGGGGGCCCTACAGGGCCAGGAGTGGAACCAGGTGGTGGGATGCCAGGCACGCACGTTACACCAGCCCCGAGCCAGTCTTCTAAGATGGGAGGGGATGTGGTAAGGGAAGGCTGACCCTCAACCCCACTCCCCGACAGCCATGCATGGAAGAGGGACCCCAGCCCTGGGACACCCCTGTTATTCCATCCCATGGGTCCATCATTCCCTTCCCACAAGCTGCCTCCAGGCACTGCGATGTGATGCATCCTCTCCAGAAGGTTATGGAAAGTTCTGTGAGTCCTCCCTGCATCCCTCCCTCTATAGCCTCCCTCCACCAAGCAGTGTTCTGTGCCCTGCCCATGCCCTGGAAGCTCTCTGAGCCCACGGGGCATGCCCAAAGGTCATGCACCTTAGCATAAGTTCCAGGGAAGAAAAGTAGGTCTGGGCCCATCTCTAAACCAGTGTCTGGCTCTGCTGTCCAGCAAAAGACACTCACAGCAGGATACAGCTGCCAGTGGCAGTGGGGAGCAGGACAGGCTGTGGGATTCACAGCCTGGCAATGGGAGACCCCAGGGCCCACCCCCTCCTGCTCCTGAGCTCCCAAGGGACGGTCTCCATGTGGCCTCCAGGTGACAGCTGCCCTGCCCCTCGGTCACAGCAGAACTCTCTCCTTTCTCTTATGGTGGCCTGTTCCCGTGGCCACTCCCCGGGGGACAGCCGGCCTGGGGGTGGGGGGGGTGGACAGGAGCTGAACTGCATTGGGAGTCTGGCCTGTGAGGCTGCGGGGGACCAGTTCCGTTGATATAGGAGACTTGTGGGGCCCAATGCCTCTCCCGGGGCTGCCTGGCCACTCCAGGAGAGGGAACACGTGTGTATGTGGCAACTCCGGGCAATGGAGGCCAGCATGGCTGTGTCCCCCAGGGACCCGCCCATCCACTCACTCAGGTGGAGTCTGGCATTCCCCAGGGCTGGCATCTGCTCAGAGAAAAATGTCACCTGGCACAGAGCAGTGACTGGGTTTCTCTTACTTGTCACCTCCAGCAGGGCCTCTCGGCCACAGCCTGTGCCCAGCGACCGGCCCTCGCCCTGACGAGCAGAGCCGTCCTCTGCCAGCATCTCCAGGGCGGTCACATGGCGCTGGGTACTGGGAAACGAATTACTCTGCTCTGGACCAGCCTCTCTGCAGCATGGCTTTCTACCCCCCCCCCCCCCCCCCCCGCTTCTCTGAGGGACCTTTATTCACTTCGTCACTTAAAATTCCTTTCCCCTGGCCGATAATGAGCTCTCTTTGGACAGTTGTTTTGTGACAGCTCAGAAAATAACGGCTACATAAAAACAAATTGTGGTGGTTTGGATAATAGAGACGACAGGAGTCAATTAGGCTCATTAATCAACAAAGACAGAACAAGAAGTACCAAGGCCTCACCAGAGCCAGGAAAACATGCTTAATGCAGGGAGGGGGAGAGGGAGGTGGCCCAGAGGAAAGTGGATAAGAGGCCCCACAGCCCAAGCTGGCCAGGGCTGCCCGAGCCGTGGGAGGTGGCTGGACCGCAGCCACTCGAGTTACTGAAGCTTTCATTGGTGCTTATTCTGAATGACGGTCCAGCTGTTACAGGTCACTGGCCATTTCCTGATGATACACATTAATTGGCATAAAACAGTCCCACTCACAACCAAACCCATCAGCAGGTCAGCGGCCAGGCTCGGGAAAACAGGTCGGCAGGGAAACCGTTCGTGAACTTTGACACAACGACTCTGCTTCTGGGAATGTATATCGTTAAAAAACCCAAAATCCAGTAAAAATATTCTCCGTGGAGATACAAAGGCGGTCTTGTTGACGATGATGGGGGGCGGGGCGGGTCTCTGCCATTCGCAGAGGAGACCCTCCTGATGGCTTCCGACGTGAAGCTGGGCAGGCATGAAATCGCACCGTTTGTCGGGGGAAAAAATCGCGGAGAATGATTGTTGGAGGTTTCAATGGAGACTCAGCAGACAGACATGTGGGAACGTGTCCCACGCCGTGGGAAAAGCAGGAGACTGGAAGAACCAGAGAGTTGGAATAATCGCAGGGCCGGGACGCCTGCATCCGGCATTCCCCAGCCTTCTAATCTGTTCCACAGTTTCAGCGAATCACCGTAGGGGCACTTACTCTGACACACGGCCATCTCGGCCCCGCCACTGGCGTCAGTCCAAGGAGCCCTCACATATGGCCGAGCCCCCCAAGTCCATGGTCAGCCTCCTGGCCCTCACGTGCTGGGGGAGCCAGATTCCCCCATTCCTGAAGAAAGTCACCCCCTTCCCCCAGTGCTAGGAAGTGAGTGAGGACCAGCGGAGGCAATGCTGAGTGCCTGAACCCCAGAGCAGAGAGGCTGAAACGGTGGTGGGGGACCGTCACAGGGGTGGGGCTCAGGGCTCTCTAGGGGCTCCCCCACACCTGGACAGGCATGATTCTGCTTCACCAAACACCTCGCAGTCACACATGGTGATCTCGTTGGCTGGCGCCTTCTCCCGACACCCATGAGGGCTCCCATGAGGGCTACAGTGGATTCCACCGCACACGGCACCAGGCTCCCAGCCAGGACTTGCCACCTTTCACCTAGAACCTCTTCCAGCACTTGCACCCTGCCCAGGCAGCAGCTGGTAAAGGTTAATGGTCACTTCTGCTCACACATCACCATGGAAACAGAGCAGCTCAGCCCATTCTAGGGGAGACTCTGGGGATGAGATGTTCCTATCACTGGTCTCTGCCACGACATGCCAAGAAGGGCAGTGATGTCATTTCCACAGAGCACGTCAGATGCCAGAGCTCAGCGGGTCAGGCATGTGCCTGGCATGTTGGGGGCCGGGTTCCAAGCCCTGAGCTCTGAGCGAGGAGGCAACCCTGAGTACTGCTGGGTGAGACTCAAAAATAAAAAGTCACAAAGCAACTCATGGTTGGTCCACAGCCAATAAAGCCCAGGGCGTGTTTCTCCTAGGATGCCTGATCTCACATCTGGTCACTTCTCACTGACCGGCCACCTGCTGGGTTAAACCAAAAGACGCAGCTCTTCAAGGTCTGGTCCCGGCTTACTTGTGGAGCAAACGCTTGGGCACTGGTACCTTGGGAGCTCCTCCCCGCCCCAGCGCCGTTGACTGTCTCCAGGCCAAGAGAGACCGTTTCCTTTTCATATCTTTTTTCTCCCCACTTTTTAAAAACTTTTTTCTATTGAATCACTGTGGGACAGACCCCTACAAAGCTGTTCATGATTGGGTTTCAGTCATACAGTGTTCCAACACCCTTCCCTCCACCAGTGCAAATTTCCCAGCACCTGTGTCCCCGGGTTCCCTCCCATCACCCTCCACCCCCCACCCCTGCCTGCCTCTATGGCAGACACTTCTCTGTCTCTGTCTCTGCTCTGTCTCTGTCTCTGTCTCTCTCTCTCACTTCCCCATGTCCAGTGGCAGAGGTATCTCCCTTCGGTTGCTCTGGTCCACGAGACGAAAGCCGTCTGAGGCTCAGGCCGCACCCGGTAACTGGACCCGCTGTTTTCCATTCTGGCAGAAAACTCAATAACATGACACACTCGCTTGGGGAGAACAAACACAGCACGTGGAAACTCACACTGTGACAGGCCTCCTCACGCCGGCCTTTCCACAACACCCATGTCTAGCGAGCGGGGTGTTCATGAGCACACACGTTGCCCCACATCGAGGCCGCAAAGCATGGGAAAACATCCTGGTACTTGACTCCCAGCCCCGGGGAGCGTGGAGGATGTGCCGGCCAGGGGCCGCTGGGGAAACCCCCGGATCCCTTCCAGCAGCACCTCACAAATCAGCTCATGCCAGCCACAGGCCCAAGTGCAGCCCAGGCACGGCACGGAAGAGCTGCCACGGAGCCACGTGTTCTGAGCTGCAGCTCTCGAACGTTATTCCCCAGAAATGGGATTCTTTGCTTGGACCTGCCATCTCAGGCACAGAAAAGGTTCTGAGAGTCTGACCAGCTAGTCGGGCCTAAGACCACCCAAGTCCCTGCCCACCATGACTCTGAAGAAGAATGGACACAGAGCTCAGTGTGGGTCTGTGAGAAAACGTGTTAGCACATGTGATGGGGGTTCTAAGACCACGTGCCAGCACCTGACAAACAGCTTATCCTCACAGGGTCCTCATTCCCCTTGCACCCAGGGACCGAGGGGTTTCAATCCCGCAGTTACAAAAACCCTTGACCCTTAGTAACGCCTGTTTACTTTTGATAATACATTTAGATCTTTTTAAATGAAAACTTAAGAAATTCTTTCCCCGAGTTTCCTGTGAGCCTTGCTCCCATGTCCCTACTCCTAACGTCACACGGAAGTCAATTTTCCCCGTTTCTCATATCACCTGCCATTTCTTGTCACAACCACGCCTTCAGACTCAACAGGCGCCAGGTGGGGACAGCGCTGGCCCTCCCGAGCCCCTGCACGCACCTTTGGGAGGGGTGAGGTCGGCTCCGTTCCTCAGGCACCACTGGGCGGGTAAGACCCCTGAGGAGTCCGCGTGGCACAGCATGGAGGGAGCACTGGGCTCTGGCCGCAGGTCATCAATGGTCACTTGGAAGAAGTGATTGTTAAAGACCTGGAAGGAGAGAGACAAGAGCCCAGTGTCAGTCTTGGGTGTGGGGACGGCCGTGTCCAGGCATCGTGTGGGCACAGACGGAAGGTCAGACACTGCAGCCAGTGGCTCTGGGGGGCCGGAGTGAGGGGGAGACGAGAGCCAGAAGCCTGGAGCCTGGCCGGAAACTAATGACAGTCACACAGCCCCTCGGCCTCCTGCAATGACCCACACTCTTGTCCATCCGTCCCTGCGATCTGGCTGGTGCTCTGGGACTGCCCTGGGACCACAGCCTTCGCTCTGACGATCTCCCGGAGCATCTCTCGAAACTGTGGCCCAGAAGTTTCCCTCCTCTGACACCCCAAACGCTTTTCCAAGAGGCCCAGCAGCAGTGAAGGGGCGCGAGAGAGGGAAAGGCTGGACCCTGACAGCAGGAGACCCCCAGACAAGGCCGCTGGCTTGGCCCCCATGGGGACGGCAGACCCAGGCAAAGGCCATCCTCCCAGTGCTGAGCTGGACGCTCCGAGTCCAAGGCCAGGAGGGGAGCATGCTCCCGCCTCATTCTCCTGTCACCGCAGCCCAGTCTGAGGTTTGCCCTGAGAAGCGAGTGTAAGGGGCAGAAGCCGAGCTCCCTACCTGGCTGGTCCGCAGGCCCACTACAGCGCTGTCCAGCCCACCCTGGCCCCAGATCTGCTTTCTCTCGGCTGCCGGCCACTCCCATCTGAGCCCAAGGAGGAGACGCTGTGCACAACTTGGGTCACGCTTATGCTGTCCGGGATCCCCACAGTGCTGGGGATGGAGCCCACCATTACTGAAAGGCATGGGCTACACTACTCATCAGCCACTGCGCCCAGAAGGCCGCTGCACCCCAAGTCTGTTCTGCCTGGGCCAGCTGGGGGGAAGCCCCAGGCGCACTCACCTTGGTCACTGACGCGGGACAGATCTGAAAGGGCTCCCTCGAGTTCACGGTTTCCAGCTTCATCCCAACCGTGAAGGAATGGCTTGGCAAATCGGCATGGTCCTGCGGAAGGATGGGACGCGTGAGGGTTGAGGGCAGCGGAAGGCCCCGACCTGACCACGGTGCTCCCGACCACTGAGATGAGATGGAAATGCACACACACACACACACACACAACACATACAATAGACACACATACACGCATCCATACACACATACACACATATACAAACATCGTACATACATATACATACATACATACATACATACACATATATACACACATACATACACATATAACACATACACACATATACACATATACACATACACGCACACACATTCACACATACATACACACACACAACCCTACTGCGATTTCGCTGTGTTTCTGCAGGTGGAGGGGCAGGATGCAGCCTTTGTGGCCAGCCTGGGCAGTGTCCAGTGTCCCTAGGGCTCCCACGTGCCTGACAGACCTGGAGATGCACGGCCAGAGCACGCAGGCAACCGGCTCCTGAGGAGCCAGACGCAAAGGATCCCAGCCCGGCCTCACTGCCTACCGCGAGCACCGAAGGCAGAGAGAAGAGGGGCTGGCACCAGGCCGGGGGAGGCCCTTAGCTCTGAACGCTGCTGGCCAGCTGGGAGGTCAGGACCGAGGGGTCTGGCAGTCTACCCTGGGGCAGGCGCTGTGCGGTCAGCTCCCCTCTGGGTGCGCCTCACTGCTTCATGATTCCTCCTCCTCCTCTTCCTCCTCCTCCTCCTCGGGCCCCACTTCAGCCACCGGGCCCAGGAAAGCGGCCAAGTATCCACGTGAGCAAGGTGGCACACGGCAAAGGGGGTGAAGGACTGACAGCCCGGTCAGCGCCACCCTAGAAGGAGCCTCAGAATGCACACATGGACTTGGGGTCGTGACAATTGGGGACAGAGGCTGGGGGGGGGGGGGCGGGGAGGGTCCAGGAGGATGGCTGGGTATGAGAGGCCATGTGAGGCTTTCCATCTGATCTGAAGTCCCGAGAGGCAGATAAGGTTTAGAAATAATAGCCAACCCACCAAGATACAGGCCGCTGTGTGGGTGTGCAGGACTCACAGTTCCTGAGTGCGGAGAGACCAGATGGGACAGTCCCAACCCCACGGGGCCCTCCGTAAAACCCTAGCTCTGGGGGTGGCCCCCAGGCTCCCAGGAGGAACCAACACTACCCGCCAATTCCCTCCTTGATGGGGCCATGGAGAGCCGCAGATACTGGTCTCACAGGCTGGGGTCAGATGGGGGTCCCCACTGACATCCCAGCTTAAGTGCACAGGCAGCAGGGTGCCTGGGAGATGGAGGGGACAGTAGAAGAGGGAGGCCTGCAGGACAGCCGTGGGTCAGCTGATGCCACTGCAGGGGTCCCCTCTGTGGCCTGGGGCCTTCTCGAATGCTGGATCACGCGTGCGGTGCAGACCCCCCCTAGCTTCCTGTGTAAGGCACATGAGCCAACGTGCAGTTCTGGCCCACAGGACCTTGCATGTGGCCTCTGGTTGGGTCAAAGTGCTCTTTGCCAAGCCTGAGGCAGGTTCACTCGACGTCACGGTCAGCTCTGGAGGGTGGCTGGACACGCCCTCACTCCCGGGCCCAGCGCTATGTGCATCCACCCAGCGGGCATTAGGATGCCAGCCTGATCCCCTCACCAGCGCAATTACGTCTCAATTCCACGGCCCTGAATTAAATTTACTCACTGAAATATTTATAACAAAAGGGCAATAAAATACCTGTAAACTGAACACTAATGAGCATTTCCATTTCTCACTTAGAGATGTAAACAGCAATCTGATTTGCAAGTCACGCAGTAAATCAAGACTGAAAAAAATACTAGGTGAGAAACGGCGCCACACAGCCATGTCCCTGAACCTGAGCTTCAGCCCAGGGAGGCAGGGGCTGCAGGGTTTTGGAGAGATGCGGGCAGGGGAGGGGCAAGGCAGCTGAGGTGGGCACAGTGAAAGTGTCTGTTAGAGGTGACAGCCATGAAGTCCTGCCCCATGCACTGGGGGAGGCCAGGCTGGTCGCAGGACAAGGCCTGGGGTGCCGGCCACCCTCGGGGCCCCCACATGCAGGAGGGGCTCCAAGGCCACCTGTCCTACACCCACCCTCCACGTCCCGCTGACGGCATGAGGGAGACAGAGCAAAGCTGGGCTGGGCTTCCACGACCCTGTCACTGTGGGAAGTGGGTAATGCTGAGGACAGGACCGGGGGTCTGGGGGCTGCCCCAGGAGGGAAACCCAGCAGGAAACCCAGCACGGTGCCCTCATGTGGGACCCCCTCATGTCGGACCCCCAGGGGCTCTCATGTCCCGCAGACCCGCTGGCCTACAGCCACAGGCTGAGCGGGAGCCAAGGACTTCAGTCTGCAGAGTGGGAAACCAGCACTGCCCAGAGGGTCGGGGGTCAGGTCAGAGCAAGGGAGTGGCATCCTAGTTCTGGAGGTCCCCAAGCACCCCCAGAAGGACCCGATCCTCATGGCTGCTGTTTGCAGCTGCCCAGTAAGAGGAAAAGCAATAGTTGCCATAGAAACAGCATCATTGGCCGAGATGGAGGGGGAAGAGCCAGGCCTGGGAACGGCTGCAGAGTGCCCACACGGCCAGCACAGGCAGGTTCAGGCCCCAGGCCAGGACGACAGAGAGGACGGGACAGCAGAGTGCAGCTAGACTCCCAGCAGGGATGGCACTGGCCACACCCTGTCCCCGGGAAGGACCCCAGGGCACAAGCCCCACTCGCTCATATCTCCACAGGGTCTCTCAGGCCCACACCCCCATGTTAGGGGAGCTGAGGAGGGAGGGAGGAGGGATGGGGACAGAGGCGGGAGGGGCGAGGCAAGGATGGGGACGCAGGAAGGGAGAGATGAGGGGGAGGTGGGGATGGGGGAGGTGGGGCAAGGAGCGGGGAGGCAGGTGAGAGGGGGGAGGGGGGCTTTCCAGTTCAAGGCCCTGTCCTTTCCAGTTCCCTTCACTCTGTGGCAACCGCTCTAAATAGCTCGTTAGGAATTCCAAACACAATTTAAACATTCTTGTAAATGAGAAAGAGACTCATGCGGCAGGAGGGGAATGAGTGGGTGGATCTCCCAGGCTCTGAGAACAGCCAGGCTTGGCCCCCATGGGACCTGCTCTACGTGGGATCTGCCTGAGACCCACAGCCTCAGGTCATGCACGCCTGCTCTGGACCCCCCAGCCAACACCCGGGTGGCCTGTGAGTCTGTGACACTCTGGGGAGGTGACACTGGCCCAGGGCCATGACTTGGGCGGGAGCCATGACAGAACAGAACCAAGGCTGACACTAAGCGGCCACAGGGCCATGAGCCCCAATTGTTCTAAAACCCGAGTCAGTCAGGAATTCTCGGGAGCAGTGCTGGGAATGGAGCTCGCAGATCCGATAGGTGGTGGGTAGGTTGGAGGGGCGGAGAGAGCCGGCCAGGAAGGGGGTCCCTGCGGTCCTGCTCAGGCCGGCCTGAGTGGAAGGACTAACAAAGGGCCTGACACTCCCAGGGGAAGCAGCCCCGATCGATGGATCTCCAGAGCAGGAGCCCAGGAAGCAATGGCGAGAGGCGCCTGAGGAAGGGATGGCTGGACGTGGAGGGGACGGCAAAGAAACTGTGACTATAGAGCAACGGCGCCAGCCGAACCCTCAACTGTGGTGCCTGAACTTAAAACCAATGGAAGAAGGCCTGAGCTCTCATCCGAGAAGGGGAAAGGCCGAGACCCAGACCTGTGAACACGGCTGTGGTGGGCGCTGCGGGCAGGCGGGCGGGCTCTGTGGCCCTTCCCAGGCCACCCTCCCGGCATTGCACAGTGCCTTCAGGGTGAATATTCTGTTCCATTCCAATCAAGCTGGCAAACTGGGAACCGCTGAGCCCGACTTGAGGCTCCTCTACAGGGAGACGAGACAGTTCTGCGAGGTTACCATTTGTGAGAGTCAATCAGGTCAGAGAGGGAGTCACACCGCGGGGACCACTGTGAGCGGGAGAACGGGGGCTGCAGACGCGGGTGTGTTGGGCACCTCCAGGGCTGCATTCATTATTTCACCCCAATTTTCAAACGGAACGAGACATTTCAGACCCTCATGCGGGCATCTTGGCGACTTCATCAGACACGAAGCACGCCTCCAGCAGCCACGGTGTGAGAATGCCCATCTGCCGGGGAGGCCAGCGGCCATCAGCTATGAGGACGGCCTTCTGGAGACAGGGATTTTAGTGGCTCAGCACAGAAGTTTCCCAGCGAGGGAGCCGGGTCTGTGGTCACAGCTGTCCGTGGGCAGAGTAGCGTGGCCCCAGCTGTCTTGGTGCTGCCCTCAAGGCCTCTCACAGGAAGGCTGGCAGTCAGGGATGCCCCACTAACTTCAACCACATGCATTTCCTGTCTAACTGGGGGAGGGGGGATCCTCTGGTTCACTAATCACTATCTTTCCATCAATGTCTATTTTAAAGATTTATCTGCATTTGGGTTGGAGTGATAGTACATCAATAGGTCAATTGCCTTGCAAACGGCCGACCCGGGTTCAATCCCAACATCCCATATGGTTCCCCCAGCACTGCCAGGAGTAATTCCTGAGTGCAGAGCCAGGAGTAACCCTTGTGCATCACCGGATGTGGTGCCTCCCCCCCCTCCCCAAAAAAAAGATGTTCTGCATTTTCCAAATTGGTGAGGGAGGGGAGTGTGTGTGTGTGTGGGGGGGGGGTCAGAATTCCTAGCAAAACACAGCATTCAAACACCTGGAAAGCGTTCCTTGGAGCTGGGAGTCATAGCAGAGACACTGAGGCTCATTTTTGTGGCCTAAAACTGGGAGTCAGGCAGAGAGGAAGTGCCTCATCCCAAGGGGAGACACAGGGCGTCCGCCCTCCAGCAGAAGTGTAAAGTAACAGAAAGGACTGGCCAGAAACGCTGCTGGCCCTCAGCCACTTCCGCATCTGCACCCCAATCCCTCTCCGATACGACGCTGCTTTCCCCTGATCCTGGAGAAGGGTGAGTCATGGCGGAACCCAGACAGACATGCACCTTTGACCACGAGGAAAGGGACAGAAATAAGTCGGTCTGCTGAGCAGCGTGATCAGGGGAAAAATAATTGCATCTTATTTTGGACTCAAGAGAATGGCACTTGATGAGTCCTAGAGGTGAGTGAGATTGGAGGGAGGGAAGGACCCAGGGGGGAGGGCAGCTCAGACAGAGGGACCCTCGCAGAGGGGAGGCGAGGTCGTCAGGGGGGAAGGGCAGCGCTGGACCAGATCCTCTGCCTTGGAGTCGGCGAGGCAGCCCGGCACGTCCACTCTGGACAGGGCAGGTGTAGGCGCCCTTACCTTGAACACTTCCATCGGAAGAGGGGACTGGGCAGCGTCAATAAGGGATTTTTCCAGAGCACATTTCCACTCAGAGGCCATCTTCAAAGGACAGATTTCTGTAGCAACAGCAAAGCAGAGGGAAGTTATGGCTGAGACATTCACTGGGAACATCTGGTGCTGCCCAACCTGCCGCCCACCAAGGGGGTCTCTGAAACTCTGACAATGGGGCACTCAGCACCCAGAAAGGAGGCACGAGTGACCCCCTTTCCTTTGGGTGGTCTGGGAGCCATGTCTTTGGCTACTCAGTAACCCCCCATTCCACATCACTCACACTTTTTTTTTTTTTGGTGAATAAATCAGAAAAATGTACTCAGATCTGTGAATAAACCAGAAAACCAAAATAATTAGAAAGATGGAAAGATCTTGACAGAAGGACTGAGAGTGAACGTTAAATTTAACAGGGCTGGAGAGAGAGTACAGTTTTGGGAGGGTACTCGCCTGGCACTCAGCCAGCTCAGGCCGATCCCTGGCATCTCTACCTGGAGTGATTCGGATTTTTGCTTTTTTTTCTTTTTTAATTAAAAAATGTTTATTAAAGAATTGTGCTTTACAAAATTATTGATTCTTGCATTTTAGGGATACAATATTTCAACCCAGGCCCGACCCTGCTTAGCTTCCGAGATCAGACGAGACCGGGCGCATTCAGGGTGGAATGGCCATAGACCAGGGCTGGAGCAATAGCACAGCGGGTAGGGCATTCGCCTTACAAGCGGCCAACATGGCCGACCCGAGTTCGATTCCTCCGCCCCTCTCGGAGAGCCTGGCAAGCTACCGAGAGTATTCGATATGCCAGACACAGTAACAACAAAGTCTCCAATGGAGACGTTACTGGGCCCGCTCGAGCAAATCGACGATCAACGGGAGGGCCTTTACCTTTACCTTTACCTTAATATTTCAACCCGATCCCACTACTAGCCTCGGTTTCCCTCCCACCCATCCCTATCACATGACAAAGGTGCTATGGTCGCAGCTCAGGTCTGTGTCTGCAGTGTTGGGACATAAGGCAGCACTCATCCCTGTCACTGGGCCTGACCCCCACATTTCTAAGCAGGAGACACTCTGGGGGGGGGGCACAGTCCAACACACATGACTAGGTCATCACATCCCCTGTCCACGGGACTCGAGAGCACATGGAAAGGTGGCTTTGAATGGCCAGCTGAGTCTCAGGGGCTGATACCTAGTGGCTAAGACCCACGCATGGCATGGTGTCCCCATAGCCGCTGGTGGCCATGGGAGGTGAGTGTGTGGGAGGGGGGACGGGGGGGTTGATGAATGGCTCATTAGAGGGGATCTCTCCTCAGAGACCACTGTGCAGGAGTGGCAGACTCTGCGGCCCCCAGCACCCTCTCTGCACCTGTGGCATCATCGTAACATACAGCTGCTCAGCCAGGGGCCACACAGGACTCAACCCTGCTCTCCACGTGGCAGCTAGAAGCACGTGTGGGCACTGGCACCTCTGTGCTCACATGAGTGTGAAGCCAGGGAGGGTGGATAGGCCTCCTCCCTGCCACGACTCGGTCAGGGGTAGAAGCTTCTAGAAGAACCCTGTGAGCCCAGTGCTGGCCACTCTCCTGTGTCACACATCCCGTGAGGGAAATGCTCAGTCCTCTGTCTGGTCAAGGCACAGCCCTTCTTCCTCTGACCTTGGGCTACGCCCCTGCCTGCACCCCCAACATGGCATTCCAGTCTGTGAACAAATCTAAGATGGCCTTCTTCATGGGATCTAACTCGGCTGGTGGCACAGAGAGGGCTCCCACAAGTCCTCTGCAGAGAGCAGGCTCCCCTTTGCCCCAGGGAGGAAGCCAGGGAGCCCAAGTGCCCTCCGGGTGAGGCACACGAGGAGACAGGTGCCAGGGCAACCCCTCTGTCTTGAGCCCTCTGGCCTGAGCTCAGCACCGGACCAAGAGCCCAGCGGATTTGATCCCCAAACCAGCACCCCCTCTGGCTTCTCTGGGGTGTCAGGAGAGAAGCCTCGGCCCCATCTCTGCCCAGTCCCCATGCCCAGCGACGACTCACAAATCCAAAGCTAGGCCCTGCAGGAGTGAGGTGCGAGGACCCACTTAGGATGCCCATGACCACATCTGCTGGGGGACATGCTGATGGGGTGGGGGCGAGGGACCTGGGAACAGGCAGTGGAACATGCCTGGATGGACAGCGACCGACCATACTGCACCCTAGTCTCTCCACGGGAACGGCCACTCCTTACCCACCAGCCCCGTGCCTGGGCCTTCCGGGCAGCCTGAGAAACTGGTCACCTGAGGCTCTGCAACACGTCCCTATAGGGCAAGCGTGGTGAGGGCAAACGTCCCCACAAGGCAAACATGGCTAGGGCACAGGTCTCCACAGGGCAAAGGTGGCTGTGTCACACCTTGATGGGGACAAACGTGGCTCTGCCATTGTCTGCATGTGCAAGCATGCACCTCCCACACCCAAAGAGCTCAGGTCGTAGCCCCAGTGCCTGCCCCAGGCTCCCCCTCAGAACCTCCTGACCAGAGGGATGTGGGCCCACAGCAAAAGGCGTTTGGGAGCAGTGACCCTGACAGCACAGCATGCCCAGTGTCATAGGCCAGGGGAGCTGACACAGGTCATGCACATGAGCCCTGACCAGGTATTGTGAGGCTGACCAGGGCTGGGTCATATTCCTGTAGAACCACCCAAGGAGGGCAGGCAGTGGTTTCTGAAAGAACGAGCTTTTCCTTCTCACTATCTGTCTTATTTATGCTGGGGCCTCTGGGGCAGTGCTCAGGGGTCACTTGGCCCCACAACACTGAGGCCTGGCAGTGCTGAGGCTACTTGGGCCAGAAATCGAACCCAGGGCAAGACATGTACCCCACCCCTCACAGCTGCCCCTGGTTTCCTCAGCATCTTCACTTTGAGGGAATCCAAGACACCTTGACCCTGGGAGGAAAACCCTGAGACTCAGGACAGTGCCAAGGGGGTAGAACGGGTCAGGGGTGGGACAGGAAGGGCGGCACATCCCCTGGCAGGCTGGGGATCTGGCACAGGACCTTAGCACATCTCAAGTTTTTCTGCTGTAGAAAGGAATGTTCACACCAAACAAGAAACACTTTCTAAAAAAAAAAAAATCAAAATAAATCAAAGAGTGGGTGTAAAATCACCTGACACTGAGTAAACATTGGAGAATGGTGATTTTGTAAACAATGAGATTTTGGCCCAGTTAGTTATGTCAGAAAAAAAGATGTGTACTGTAGTAGTAGTCACTGTCGTCAGTGAAGAGTCTTTCAGCATTGAAGCCAGTTAAAATCTCTGATGTGATGGAGAGAAGAACGTGGTTGTTCTCACCTTGCTACATTCAGGTGAAAACAGATTATTCAGTGGTGAGCCTGGCTTATACAACTGATGGAGAAACAGGAGGGAGGGTAGGAAGGACGGATGCTGGGGTTGATGCAGGGGCTGGTGGGTGGACGGGATGAAATGTGGTTGGCTGGTGGATGGGAAGATGGAAGGACAGACAGATGAATGGGTGAATGGATAACAGATAGACGAGTAGGTGATGGGTAGGTCGGTGAAAGGATGGGTAGAAAAATAGATGAATGGGTGGGTGGTCAGATAGATTGATGGGCAGGCCAACAGATGGATGAGGATGGATAAGTGAAAGGAAGAATGGGCAGATGTGTCTCAGGTGTGCCTTTTTGGATACCGGTTGTCTGAGTCACTATCCCATGGTGACCAGGGTCCCCTGGTGCGTTTGGGGCTGGTTGGTAACCAGTGGTACTTTATTCATCAGTCTGGAATATTATAAAGAAATCCTGAAGGGTTGGGGCAGAAGTTACACATAGGTGTGGCTGAACATTAACAAAAACAATGGACAGATGTGAAGTCCCTCCTTCAGGGGAAATGCTTCAGGGAGATGCGCCCAGGGGTGGCATTCCATCCAAGGCATTGTTTTCTCCCTTTCTTTACTGGGAATCCATTCAATCATATTACATTTATTTCTTAACAATATTTCTAGTAATTTTGTATAAACACAGTAAGAGATACAGGTTTTTATCTATACCTGTATGATAAAAGATGATGAGATTTTGATAAAAGATTATGAGATTTTATCGAACCCAGGGCAAGACATGTACCCCCCCCTCAAGACATGTACCTCACCCGTTTAAGCTTAAACGATCTCTCTGGTAAAGGGTGGCTTTTCCTGGGGACATCTTGCTCTATTTCGCTGACTACAGTCCTCAGGCCAGGTTAGACTTTCCTAACCCCAATAGGGTCCTTTTCAGTTACTTCTTTTGGATCATGACAGAGTTTTTTCCATGACCATGCTCTTAACCTATTATACTTCTTATGGGCCCTGAGGCTGTCCCATGTTGAAGCCAGGGTAGCTTACAGCTTGCCCCGGGTCCATCCAGTCCCTTGGTGGCACCTCCCTTTGGGGTGTAAGGAACTAAGGTCAATCAAAGAGCAACTGAGATGTAAGTCAAGTAAGTATGACAGATGCCTAGGAGTAAATATTATTTGGAGTCAATTAACTCCCATATTGCAAAAACACAGTATTAACTTTCTTCCTATGTCTATAAAAAAAAAGAACACTGCTCTAAAATAAAAAATGTGCACAGGACACAATGGAAAGGGAAAATTAATATTCCACTTACATATACAAAATCCAGAGCCACCAGAAGGTTTGACTTTGTAAATCTGATCTGCAGATATTTGTGGCTAACAGATGGGGAAGAAGAACACAATGGAGAGGTCAAAGATGAACAGGAAGGACTGGGTGTGCCCCTGGGAGCACTAGAGTGGGAGTAACTCAGTTAACCTAAGCTCCCTGCAGGAGGACACAGGACAACCCAATGTTAAGCCTAAAATGCTTGGAACTATAATCCAACATGATGTATGGGTGGGAGATGGGGAGATGGATATGTGGGAAAAGGATGGGTGGACAGACAGATGTATGGGCAGTGAGCAGAGGATAGATGGACAGGCCAACAGATGGATGGACAGACTGATGAGGGGGTGGATGGGTAGATGGGCATGTGGATGGCCAGACAGATGAATAGAGGAGCACAGGTATGAATATAGACAAATGGATATTTTTGTGCCCACTTGCAATACTATCAAAATACCCCAAATATGGAGAAGATATTCAAGTCCCATTCTGTTGCTTTTTTATTTCCGAACCAATAATTCCAAACAGACTTCCTGATAACCCTTTCTCTTTTTAGAATACCACTGGCTGAGGTCTAGGGTTTTATAGTCCATAGAGAGAATTCTGGTATTTACAAACCTGCGGTTAACATACACTGATGCACAAAACACCACAGAGCTCATCAATTTTCAGAGACACGCTCAGGAGGCCAGCAAGCCTCTCTTTAAGTGTGGATGGGTCAGCAGCTGCCCTTACCTGAAGGTGGGTCCATTCTGTATTTATTCTCTTGACACCAACCAACTGGTCGAAGTCTGTAATCCAAGTAAAACAACCACTGGTCATAGGATTCAGTGTCCTCCAATCCCACATAGCGAAGGCGTAATCTTCCTCCAACATTTTCAATCACACTAACTATCCAGTACTGAAAAGGGTTCTGAGAATCCTGAAGTTCTATTAAGGAACCAACTGTAATGAGGTCTAGAGGGCCTTTCCCTCGCAGAGGCTGTTTAAACAGAAGCAAAACTCCTTATTTTAAACTTTATTTTAAGGTTCCCATGGAAACAGATGACAGCAGAAGATAATATTTTTTTCACACCATCATCCAAGCTACTGGCAAACAGTCTGTCCTCCCAGCACACCACCCCACCCCTCACCCACCACCCCACACTCGCCCGGCACAGCCAGAATCACACTCAACAGGAAATAAGGTCGTGCTCGGCTCTGGCCAAAGAGCCCTTCCCAGATAAAACTGCATCTGTCCAAGGACTCAGGAGGCTCGGGGAAGAGTCACATCTGAATTTGCCTCAAACACGGGGTGGGGTTGCTGAACAACTGCTGCTCCACACAGACACTGGTGTGGAATGATGGATGCAGGCCAGGCTTGATGGACATTCACGTTATAGTGGCCACTGCAAAATAACCAAACCCTCCTCTCTCTCACTCCGTGACTGCATGAGAGGAAGGACAAGCGTGTGCAGAAAAGCCTGGCCCGGCCCATGGACGGCCAGCTCAGTCAGCGAGCTCAGTCGGACCACTATGCAGAATCTTCTAGAAATTTCAGGGGACTCAGCTTAGGAAATATATGAATCTATTGCCCCAATTAAGCCACTTTCTGAATGCAGGTTAGAATCTGAGAAGGGTGTTTGCTCAGCCGGCTTGCTGGACCATTTTTTTTTTTTAAACAAACCAATTAAACAGAGTAAGAAAAGTCATCCTTTTGAAGGGGTGAAAAACCATCATTATCATTAGTTAATGAAATAATTCAATGATTAGTCATTAAGAGAAACAAATACATCAACCAGAATGTGCACAAAATGAGTAACTGTATCTTAAACATGGTAATCCATAGTACCCAGTAAATCCCTTGAGGTAAGGGAAATGAGGGCTCAGGTCCCGAAAGCATCGCCCGGCCCACTCAGGCACCTCACATTCTTCTCCCCTTCTCCAGGATGACCTTCTTAAAACAGACTGGGCAGCTCTGGGAGGTACTGGTGACCGTGGCCTGCTCTGCCTGGCCTATTAGCTAGCTGATATCAAAATGCTCCATCGTAAAGCTATTCTCAACACTTTGGTTCTTTCTCCTGTTGGCACCTTAAATTACCTCTAAGTGGCCAAATCTCTGCTCATCTTCTGAGGGGCTCATGCTAACATGCGTGCTCAAGCAGGGGTCACGCACGGCAGGGGATATTGAACAGGCCGCTGTCAAGGCTCCAGGAGCGACACCTCTCCTGGGGCGGAACCTGCCACAGCGGGCCACAAGTCTCATTTATGCCCACTGACCCAGGGCAGAGGCACAGATGTCACACCCAGTGAGATCATCCCAGTAAGGGACCCTTAGTCTCGGGTGTGGCAGGGGAGGTGAATGTCACCTCGGGGACCCTCAGTGCCATCAGAATCTACATAACCCAGGAGAAAGAAAGCAGAGAGTCTGGCTACGGGCCCCAGCGATGGTGTCATGCAGGAACTGGCAGAAGGATATATGCAGAGGCGCCAGGACATTGGGGCCCCGGAACCGACGGCTCGGACACAGAGTAGCTGTATGACAAAATACATACACCTTCCAGCAGGCTGGCGGGCGCCGTCCGGGAGCCAGTCAGGTCCCGAATGAGGAACTCTGTCCAGTCTGCATACTTCTCTCTGATGGCTGGAAAACAAAGGGGAAAGAGAGAGTGAGGGGGCGGGGAGATGGAGGGAGAGAGAAAATGAGAGCGAGAGAGCGAGCAAGTGAGCGAATGAATGAGAGAGAGGGAGAGAAAGGGAGGGAGAAAGAGAGGGAGAGAGTAAAAAAGAAAGAAAAGAAAGGAAGAAAGAAAGAAAGAAAGAAAGAGGGAGGGAGGGAGGGAAGGAGGGAAGGAGAGAGAGGAAGGGATAGAGGGAGGGAGAGATAGGGAGAGAGAGGGAGAGGGAGAGAAAGTGAGAGCGAGAGAGACAGAGAGAGGGAGGGAGAAAGGGAGCGTGAGGGAGAGAGAAAGAGAGAGAGGGAAAGAGAAAGTGAGAGAGCAAGAGAGAGTGAGAGAGGGAAAGAGAGGGAGAGAGCAAGAAGAGAGAAAGGGGGAGGGAGAGAAGGAGAGAGGGAAGGAAGGGGGAGAGGGAGGGAGGGGAGAGAGCAAGAGAGAGGAAAAGAGAGGGAAAGAGAGAGAGGAGAGAGGGAGAGAGAGGGAGAGGGAAAGAGGAGACAGAGAGGGAGAGAGAGGGGAGAAGGGGGAGAGAGAGAGAGAGAGAGAGAGAGAGAGGGAAAGAGAGAGAAAGTGTCTGGCACTGAGGCAGGCCAGGGTGTGGGGGGGTGGGAGGGAAACTGGGGACACTGGTGGTGGGAAATGTGCACTGGTGAAGGGACGGGTGTAGGAGCACTGTATACTGAAACCTTTGAACAACTTTCTAACTGTGTATCTCACGATGACTCAATAAAAAAGTTAATAAATAAAACCTTTTTTTTTTTAAGTCTGGCTTTTCTTGACTGACAGATTGTGGGTAACCCGTATGACACAGGACAAGGCAGGGAAGTGACATACTGATCTACAAGGCAGCCTCGTCTTGGATAGTCGGGGGCAGACATGCCTTTCGTGGAGAGCACAGCATCCTATGTGGTGGAAGCTGTTGGGGCCGGGGCATTTCTGCACGAGGAGTGTCTTCACCAACAGGCAGCCCCAAGAGACAGCAACCAGCTGCTGACCAGATGCTGACGGGGAGAGACCACACGGGCCTCCTGCCCCCCAGTGTCTCACTATCACCACGGGTCTGCGGGAGCGATTAGTCATTGCTGTAGAAACATCTCTCTACTGGCTTTTCAGAAGAAACATTGCATTGTTTCATCAACTATGCCTTCTCTCCGAGGGTGAGATCATCAGAAAAAAAAATGTACAGCTCTTTCCTCTGATCAAATATCTTCATAAATTCTAAATTTGAGTTGTTAGCTGCTAGAAATTCCCGTGGTGCCTCAAAGAAAACTCTGATAGCCAAACTGCCTAGTGGTGGGTGCCCGGTGTGTGGGAGGCCCTGGGGTGCATCCCTGGCCCTGCAGGGGTCCCAAACACTGCCGGGCACAGTCCCTGGCCCCAGCACCGCCAGCAGTGACCCCAGCAGCACAATCAAACAGCAGTAGCAACAGACCTGGGGCCATGGCATAGCAGGGAGGGCGTCTGCCTCACACTCAGCCAACCCAAGTACAATCCCCGGCTTCCCATATGGTCCCTGACTGTAGAGCCAGGAGCAGGGCTCGAGCACCAGTGGGTATAACCCCCCAAACAAACAAAAATAATTGTTCTGTCCTCAAAGCTACTTCCTACATGAGCTGGCTGGGGCAAGGGTTCATCGTGGTCCCCTCCACTCCCCACCCCAGCACACTTGGGTATGTCTCTGGGGGCCCCTACACCTCAACAGACCCGAGCCCCAGACTGCAGGCTTGCAGAAGGGGGGTCCTGAACACTGCTGGGAAGACCCCTCTCCCAAGGCCACGCACATCACTACAGTAGAGCTCATCTTTGAAATTCCAGGGTGCAAGACACAGGCCCTTCCAGGGACAGCCCAGGGCCATCCAGTCCCCGTCCCCCCCCAACCCAGCAGGACACGGTGTCCACGTAGTTGCCCCCATGATGGAGCTGAGTCTGAGGGGGGGGGGAAGAGCCCCTGGGAAAGTGGGGGCAGCAGGAACTCCCTCCCACCTTGGCTGGGAGCCCAACACACCCCAAAAACAGCAGAGCTAGGCCCACGGCACCCTTCCCTTTCCTGCTGGCCTTGAGGGCAGGACGTGGACTGTGAGGCAACATCGGTTTGTCTCGGACCAGCTCCAGGAAGGAAGAGCTGCCATCCACTGTGCTCACGTCTCTGCGGCCCTGCAGGGCCCCAACAGCCTCCGGCACCACTTACATCCCTTGACATTATCTCACAGTTAGTGCCTGCCAGGAAAGTCCAAGAACAGTCCCTGCCAGCCCCAGCACAGGGCTGGGGACATCCCCAAGTCCCACCAGGTGCAGGAAACCCAAAACAGCAAAATGGGAACTCCTCCTGCCAAGTTTCTACTCGCATCTTTTGAGTCGGAATACAGAAGCGAAGTCTGTAGCTTTTCTTGGGAGTATTTTCCATTTCAGTCTGCACATTCATAGAGTGCCACTGCCACAACTTGAGTCAAAACAAATTCTTGCCTCAGCCCCTTCCACGCTCAAAGCGCGATGCCGGCAGTGGCGGGCAGGGAGACGGCTCTTCAGTCTCTTGAGTCTCACCCTCTCCACACTCAACCACAGTCAGGCACCCACAGGCGGGAAGTGCCCGTGGGAGACCGGGGTACACACCTAGAATATTCTGTGACTGACAGCATGAGGCAGGTGTGCCAACACTCAGGGGGTATGGCTTCACCATGCCAGGGACCAATGCAGAGGGTTGTGGTAGGGACAAGGGCCCCAGGAGAGACCACCCAACCCGCACTCAGGGTCTCATTTCGAGCGGGCCCTTTCTCCTGTCCTCTTTGTTGTTTTTCCTTCCACTCGGGGCCCCGTGAGTCTCAATCGTGGACGTAAGTCTGGTGCTGGGGAACTGCCCAATGGAAGGAGGCTTTGCCATTGTCTCAGCGACAAGGTGGGTTTTCAAACAAGGCCTGAGGTGTGTGGCACTCACGGTTCTGCAGCAACACCAGCGTCTGCATCCTGAGACTGGCGGGGACAGGGGTGGACAGATGAGGGACCAGGCAGGGGGCCTGGGGCTGAGAGTACACAAGGGAGGAACTATGAGGGGAGTGTGTGAGAGACCCTGTCACTATCATTATCACTATCCTCCCGTTGTTCATCGATTTGCTCGAGTAGGTCCAGTAACATTGTGAGACTTGTTACTGTGTTTGGCATATCGAATACGTCATGGGTAGCTTGCCAGGCTTTGCCGTGCAGGCAGAATACTCTCGGTAGTTTGCAGGGCTCTTTGAGAGGGGCGGAGGAATTGAACTCGGGTCGGCCATGTTGACTGCGTGCAAGGCAAACACCCTACCCAATATGCTATCGCTCCAGCCTGTGTGTGTGTGTGTGTGTGACAGTGTGTGCACATGTGAGAGTATGTGTGAGTATATGTGTGTGAGAGCCTGTGTGTGTGTTTGTGTGTGAGAAATTGAGTATGTGTGAGTGTGTGTTTGTGTGAGTGTGTCTGAGAACCTGTGTGTATTAGTGCGTGAGTGTGTGAGAGTGTGAGTGTATGTGTGTGTGTATGTATGTGTATTGTGTGAGAGCATGTATGTGAATGTGTGTATGTGTGAGCATGTGCGTAAGAGTGTGCATGTGAGAGTTGTGTGTGTGTGTGTGCAGGAGAACATTGTGAGTGTGTGTGAGAGCCTATCTGTGAGTGTGTGCGTATGAGATATGTGTATTGCAAGAGTGTGTATAAGTATGAAAGAGTGTATGACAGAAAGTATGTGTGTGAGAGAGAGTATGTGAGGGAGTGTAACAGACAGTATGAGAGAGAGTGCGAGAGTGTGTGTGAGGGAATGTGAGAGAAAGTGTGTGAGTGTGTGAGAGAGTATGTGAGAGAGTGTATGTATTGTGAGAGTGTATATGTGTGAAAGAGTGTGAGAGAAAGTATGTGTGAGTGTTTGTATGTATGAACCTGTGTGGATGTGTGAGTATATGTCCATGTGAGCATGTGTGTGAGCCTGTGTGGATGTGAAAACCTGTATGTGTACATGAGCTTGTAACAGTCTGTGTGTGAGCATGTGTGTATGAGCCTGTATGTGCACAAGCATTACAGGGCTGAGGCACACCTGCGACTCCGAAGGCAATGCTAACAGGCGTTGGTGGCGAAGAGCCATGAACAGCCATGACTTCGCCTCAGAGCTCAGGAGAGAAGCAACGGGCACCGCATCACACACACACATGTGCGCACACACACACACACACACACACACCTGTGCTCACACTCTATTCACACACTCATGCATATACACAGGTTTACACCTACGCCTACATACTCACACATGTATCCAGGCTCACACAGACTTACATGTGCATACACACATGCTTCCGTCCACAGGTAAGGCCTACTGTGATCTGCACCAGGGACAGTTTCCACAGGAAACTGCCTAGTCAGACAGGACTCAGAACCACAGGCGGGGGCTAAAAAGTCTCTGAGAAAGGCCCCCTTCCTTCCTTCTTCCTCCCAGCTGTTTCCTCTGATGTGGGGGCCAGATCTCTGCAGGTGTGGCTCTAGTGCTCACCCTCCCTCTCCACACGGCCCAGGTGGACTTCACTGGGCCCATCTCTTAGCTCCAAGTGCCCTGCAGGGCTGGCTCTGTTCCTGAGGCCCTAGTGGATGCTTGTTTGCCTTCAAACCACTTGTATGCAGTTACCCTGCTAGACTGCCAGTGAAAACCCTGTGGCTGTGGCATTTAGGTCAGAAAACACGCTATCTCCTAAGGCCCAATCTGATCCCACCCGTCAGAGTAGACCAGGACATGCGGGGGACAGCGGGCTGGAGCACGTGCCTTCTGTTCCCCACCATGGGTGTCTTCTATCCACAATCCCCTGCAGTAACTCCAACTCTCCACAGGGCCCAAGCCACACTGACACACTCTCCTAACACCTCATGAATAAACATCCTGCTATTCAAATAAGTTGTGTATTAACTGCTGTCACTCTGATTCAATGCTGAACGGTAAACAGACTCATTCTGGCAAGACTGCAGAGTCTGCAATGCAAATCACAGAAATTTTAATGACGGGGAAAATAAAAATCAGTGGCAGGGTTGTGACACACTGTCAGTGTGCCACTTCTTTGGCCCCCCGCGGATGCGCACGCAAACCCGAACCCCTGGAGAGGCTGAGGGTTCCCACGTGGCTGGTCACCACCACACACTGAGACCCGCTGTCCCCCAGGCCTTGCATGGCCTTGGTAGCCCCTGCTGAACACCAGAGTCCCCCGATACCAGACGGTGACAGTCAGGTTGTTCCATTTCCATAAATAACAGGGAAACGGCCACCGGCTTAAGTGGTTTCCTGCCATTAGTGCCATAAACCTCGGCTCCAGACAGCTGCCTTCACAAGGTTGTCCACACGCAGGCAGACACTGGGTCGTACTGACTGAGGCGGGCATTCTCCATTGCTCCTCTGACCCTAGGCCACACTCTGCGACGCTCTAATGTGGTTGCAGCCTAATACCTCCAACACAAAAGAGGAAGCATCATTTCTCTCAAGAGCAGGTGCAGTGCTCCCTGCGTGGCCAACCAGCCACTGAACCCAGAGCCCCTAAGTGTGTCCTCATCAGTGGAGCTCTCTGCCACGAATTGAACCGCGTTGTGACAACATGGGAGCATCCTCCCTCCCTCATCACGAGTTTGCATTAACTCAGGGGTCACACCCGCTTAGAACAGGAATCTGCCCTGCGTGGCAGTGCCACCAGCAGCTGCGTGCAGCACTGTCAGGAGAGAAAAGACCCCAGGGCAAATCCACAGGCCCCACAACCACAGGGGAAAGGGGGCTCCAGCCCCTCCCGCCTCCCGCCTGTGACCCAAAGCCCAGGGCCAGCACTGGTGACTCGGCTCCCAGCCCGGAAGCGGACCCTTCCCTGAACACAGGGAGCAGGCATGTGCGTGCATGCACGTGCGTGGACGCATGTGCATGCATTTGTGCATATGTGTGCAAACATGCATGTGAGTGCATGCATGCATGCATGTATGTGTGTGCTAGTCTGTGCACGTCAGGGCAGGGGCCTCATGGTCTCTTACCGTCGGGGGGCTTCAGGGCCTTGCTGTTCTGAGTGCACCAGCCCACGGGGTGCAAGTCGGCCGTGAGCACGTCGCTCCAGAAGTCAGCGCTGCGGTCCTCGCCATAGCCGCAGTAGCGCAGGAGCAGCAGCTGCCCGCACGTGGTGATGACCGTGGCCACCCAGTAGGTGTCCGTGCTGCCCTTGCTGGGCACTTCCAGCTTCATGCCTGGCTGGAAGTTGCTCTGGATACTGATTTCCACCTGTGGGACCACAAGGCCCGGAGCCCTTACCGCATGGCGCATGTGGGTCGCCCAATGGGGCAGGGAGCACCAGGCCTGCCCACGGATGGGATGGGGAGCACAGAGTCACCCACAGATGGGGGGGAGCACCAGGCCCACCCATGGATGGGGCAGGGAGCACCGGATCGCCCAATGGGGCGGGAAGTGAGTCTCACGACTCCATGGGAAGCAGACATCCAGGGGAAGCCTCACCTAGATCACAGGACTGGACAGGGAGAGTGAGAGAAGTGGGCGGGCCGGGAAAGGCGGGGGAGGGAGGAGTGTGTGTGTGGTGGGGGTTCTCTGCGCACCTAAACCACAGGGCATCGCCACTGCAAGCAGGAGGGACAGACTACAACAACCCAACTTGAAAATGTGCCAGTCAAGGAGGCAGCTGGGGGTGGGAGGACACCTGGGGACACTGGTTGGACAGAAGTGAACGTGGCAGTGGGATCAGCTCTGGAACACAGTATGCAGGAAAATCAACCGAGAATAACTGTAAGGATACCTTAATATTAAAAATCAGCATACCTTAATACTAAGTTTTTTTTTAACATAAACAATTTTTTAAAAAATGTATTTCTTGCCCGAGCGGGCCCAGTAACGTCTCCATTGGAGACTTTGTTGTTACTGTGTCTGGCATATCAAATACTCTCGGTAGCTTGCCGGGCTCTCCGAGAGGGGCGGAGGAATCGAACTCGGGTCGGCCATGTTGGCCGCTTGTAAGGCGAACGCCCTACTGCTGTGCTATAGGACAGGGGAATTGTTTGCCTTGGACATGGCCTGCCTACCGGCTCCATCCCCACCACACCCCGCAGCCTTGCGGGGGAGGGGGGGCCTGAGACCCTCTGGGGGTGACCACCCAAATCCCAAACTGACACGGTACTTCAGAGCACAGGTCTGGCATGTTTGTGATCGGTTCCACAAGGGCTCTGAGCACCACAGGCCACAGTCACCGTGTGACGACCCCATCCTGTCCCCACTGCCCTGACACAGACCCTGAGCACAAAGCCAATGCCGGGTCCCTCGGAGCCGCCTCAGACAAGGCGGAGGGAATGAGTTTCTGTCTGTTCCCCCCCCCACCCAGCAGCCCCCAATGTCATGTCAGGACCCAGAGGCTGGCGTGGGGGTGGGCGTCTGTCCAGCAGAGCCACTCAGGGCTCACCCCAGCCTGTCCCCAGGCCAGGGTCAAGGGAGCAAGGAGGCCTGAGATGGGCCTGCCCAGCCGGGACACTGACAGAGGGAGGCGGAGACGGAGCAGCCAGGATGAGTCGGGTCGCAGAGGTGAGGGGAAGAGGTGGCCCCACGCCCCCCACCTGCCCAGGGGCTGAACCCACATCCCACCGGGCCCAGCTGCCTGGAGGTTTCCCATCTCTGCCACTGAGAGAGGCCTCCGGATGGCGGCTCGGAAGAACACAGCTGAACTCCATCCTGCTTCATTTTTAGGCTGAAGTATGTTCATGGTGAGGCAGCAATCACCTCATGAGGGAGCAGCAGCTCTGAAGGCAGGGAAAGGCAGATCCAACACGCTCTCTGCTCTCCACTTCCTTTCTCAAGCACATGCTGCCTCCACGGAGAACGTGTTAAACTACAGCAGAGCAGTGGGTCGGGACCAGCCTGAAGCAAAAGGGCGATGGGGGAGCCCACCCAATCTGCTCACAACTCAGACTAACTTTAGTCCTGCGAAAAACTTCAGTTCGGTTTCTTGGAATCAAACTCTCCCTTTCCAGAAACACTGCGGCAGCCCCGGAACACGGTCAGTCTTTGCTCTGCTCATCAGCCATGACCTAAGATGAGGCTCTGGCCTGAGCAAAAATCGGACTCTGAGAAAGTGGCCCCTGGGGCTGGCAGCGGCCAGATATGCTCACGCCCTGCCTGCTAGAGAGAGGACACCTCCGACCCCGATGCCACCTGCGGACCGAGTGTTTGAGTGTTTCTCGGGAAACTCCTCACTCCTTGCTGCCCCCAAAGCCAAGTGATGTCAAACTTGTAGGTGCTGCTTCACACGGAAAATGCTGCTTCACTCTCGCTCCCAAGGACCAGCCACCCGCAGCACCCGGACCATCCCCACCAGACTGGGAGCAAAGCCTGCACCAACCAGCATCCCCGCAGGCTTCCCGCTTCCCTTCCCGCCAGGCCCCAGCATGGAGAGGCGAGTGGGAGCGTCACGTACGTGTCTGAAGGAGGTGGGGGGCGCTGCACAGGCCCCTGTTTCTTCAAGATACTCCCCCCAGTTGAAGCCGACCTCCTCCATGCTTGAACCTTCCTCTGCGAAAAGACAGGACAGGACAGAGGGGCATCAGGCGAGCGACACGGGGAGACACTGGCCGATGCAGGCCATGGCCCTAGGGAAGGGGGGCAGCGAGGCATCTGTCCATGAGCGAGACCGGACAGCAGGGCGGGCTGACAGAGCCGCTGCCATTCCCACCTGGAGGAGAGCAGGCGCCTCCCAACGCCGGATGCTCGGCCAGATGGCCCAGGAGTTCAGGGGCACAGACATAAACAGCTGGAAGCTTGACATGAGAGTGTTGGGAGCAGAAGGGCAGTGAGGACAGAGAAGGAGCCAGTATGACAGTGATAGCTGGAAATGACCATTTGGTCGGGCAGGGATGAGTATGGACAGGATGTAAAGGGATATACTGGTAACCTTTCAGTACCTGTATTGGGTACCATAAGGCCCAAAAGGGAAGAGAGAAAGAGAGAGGGAAGGAGGGAGATAGAAAGAGGGAGGGAGGGAGGAAGGGAGGGAGGGAGGGAAAGTGCTGCCTTAGAGACAGGCTGGGAGGAGGGTGCAGGAGGGAACTGCACTAGTGGTGGGAAAGGTGTACTGGTGAAGTTATGGGTGTTGGAACACAATCATAAACAGCTTTGCGACTATGTATCTCACTGTGATTCAATTAAAAAATAAATTAAAAATTTTGAAAAAATAAGAGAGAAAGGAGACCAGGTGAGCGGCAGCTGTCCTGAGCTGGAGAAACATGGAGGCAGCACCAGGTCCCAGACACACCCCTTTCCCCCACCCCCACCCCTGCCCCCTGCAGCCGCCACCCAGCCCTCCTTCCCCTCACAGCTCAACAGACCATTCGCCTGTCACCAAAACCCCATTTCCAACAAGTCCCGTCTTGTGTCGCACTGGGAACAGTCAGCAGCACTCGGTGGTGCTCGGGTATTCCGGAGACACCCCCCCAGGGCTGAGAATCAGTCTCCCATACATGCTCCCCCTTGGAGCCGTCCCCCCAGTCCCACCCACCCCCCACACACATTTCACTTCACTCCTAACTCTGCTGTCCTTGCTCCCACCTTCACACGGATGATGTCACAAGTCATCAGAGAGGGGGCGAGGGTTCACATGACCCCCGCAACGTCCACACAGGCTCCAGAGCGCGAGGCGGGTCTGAGGCACCCACTCGGAGCCAAGAGGCAGCACGCGGCTGACCCAGGCTTGGTCCCCGGCATCCCCTAGCACCAGCAGGAGGGATCCCTGAGCACAGAGCCAGGAGTAAGCCCTGAGCATTGCTGGGTGTGGCTCAAATCCCCTAAAAGGAAGGAATAAAAGGTCCCTTCTGGGCACCCCCAAAGTCAGACCACAACTGGAAATCATGAGCTTTAATTGAACCCGCATGCCCAGGGCCAGCCACTTTAATTTTGCAGTTTCAATAAAACCATGCAGAAAACAGTGGCTCCTCCTAGCCCAGCTTTGATTCCGACAGCAAACACTGACTGAGGCTCCTGGGGGACCCTGGGTCCCGGGTTTTCTGGGGCCGGGGATGGGCAGCAGATAAGAGCCCATGAGCAGACCAGGGCAAATGTATAGCTGACTCATAAACCCCGTAAACCCATAAATATTTTATCAGGGAAGTTGGCAGTCTCTCTCCTCGGCCTCTCCAGGAGGTAACGGAAACAGATCAAATAAAGTTGCTGAGAAAAAAAAAATAATCCAAATTTAAAAGAAAATAGGTGCTTTCCTTCCTGGTGATCCAGTTTTAGAAAATAATGCTTATGGTACCGTGATATTTCGTAATGAATTTCAAAAAATGGGAACAAGATCAAATCGAGCGATGTCCAGTGAAAAGTGGAGTCAGCCAAGGGCTCCTGCCCCTTCCAGTCACCCCGCCCCCCCGGCCGTTCCCTTTCCTGCCTGGAACGAGGCTGACTTCCACAGCTGGACAGAAACCTCCTAATCGCGCTGGGCCACGGGACAGGGCAGGATTAGGAGGGGACAAAGCTCCTCCTTACTGCAGGGACCTGAGTCTCACCTTTGCCTTTTCATTCTGTGGCGTCAGGAGTGACTCCAGGCCCTCGCGTCCCCCGAGGCACGCGCCCCTTTGTCCCTAAACACTGCACATTGATTTAAAGTGGACAGAGAATCCAAAGACACCACGGGCTGCAGCTAGATAGAACAGCAGCACAACAGGGGAAGACTCAGGGGCGCCCCACGGGGCAGATCCCGGCTCCTACCTGAGTCCGGCTCTTCACTGCCAGTGGCCGGGCCTCCGGGCTTGTCCACGTGGGGTGCTGAAGAGCCCTGCATGGTGGGTGCACTGACGTCCATGCCGAGGAAGGGGCCGCTCCTCAGTCCACCAGCAGGAAGACTCACCTACGACCAAGAGACAACAGGGATTTCAGAGCCTGCTCCCGAGAGCCACTTGCTTCCAAATTGCACCGTGCCAATGCGACGAAGGTTGATGATGGAAGGGGCTGGGAGAGGAGCCACACAGGCAATGCCATGGCACACAGGTGCGCAGGGTAGACAAGGTGCCCACGGCAGAGGTGCCCACAGCAGAGGTGTACATGGCAGAGGTGTATAAACAAGTTCACAAGGCAGAGATGCACATAGCACACAGGTGCTCACAGCACACAGTGCTCACAGAACAGTGCTCACGGCACTGCAAACCTGTTTTTACAAGGCATCATCAACATGGCGTTGAATTTATCTCCCACCAAAGAAGAGAAGCTACATTTCACTCCCGACCAACCCTCGTGCAAGTGTCGAGATGCTGCCACCCAATGGTTGCTCCCCGTAAGTCCATCCGTGGAACCACAAGGCCCCCAGGGCCCGGCACATCCACCCTGGCTGGGCAAGCTGCCCGCAAGGCCGCTGAGAACCAGCATCTCAAGATAAACTGCTTCAGCTGGTTCTCACTGAATCGCGCTACCAGGAAAGCTGGGGCCCCCAGTGTGGCCAGCTGCCATCCTTCCCACGGGCCTCTCCGAATCAGATCCATCTGACTGTCCATCTGACGGCCTGTGGCTGCTCTTGGTGGCTGGTCGCCCTGTCCAAGATTGCATGCTCCTCCTAACGTCGCCCGAGCTTCCTGCAGATTCCCTCTAGCTACAAGGGACAGAGACTGCGAAACCGAAGCAGAGGACATCACGGTGTCACCCACCAACTTCCCTCTACATGCACCTCGCGTGGCAGGTCCCACAGAAGGCGCTGCTGTGTTTCTGTGGGGGCAGTTTGAAAGTAGGCACAGCCTTGAGGCCTGTCACACCTTCAGCTAAAATGACTGCACATCCCTATTCATCTCTATGCTCGGGAACGTCATTTTGCCTCAAGTGTCCTTCTGCAAAGTCCTTCTGTAAAGGTAAAGGTAAAGGCCCTCCCGTTGATCGTCGATTTGCTCAAGCAGGCCCAGTAATGTCTCCATTGGAGACTTTGTTGTTACTGTGTTTGGCATATCGAATACTCTTGGTAGCTTGCCGGGCTCTCCGAGAGGGGCGGAGGAATCGAACTCGGGTTGGCTATGTTGGCCGCTTGTAAGGTGAACGCCCTACCCGCTGTGCTATCGCTCCAGCTGTAAAAGGGGGAAAAGTCCACGGATATCACTATCAAGAAATAGGTCAAGGAGCAAAGGCTTGTGTGGCACTGGTGAGTTTGCAGACCTTTCATGCCTCCTCAGGGACTCACTTTGCCTCCAACCAGACAGTTCAGACCCGTGCTTAGGCCAGTTAGATCAGATCTACAACTCCAGGCTGGGTAAGGAACGCCCCAGAGCACAGCCAGCACCTGGCTGATTACGACCATGAGCTTCCCAGTGTAGGGATGCTGCCAAATGTTTTGGGAAGTGACTTCACCACATTTTAACTTCCCCAACAATGTTACTTTTCCCCCACTCCCAGAATATCCAGCTTCATTCAGAGGGAGCTTGGGAATGTGCCTCTAGGGTCACAGACCCTGACCTGAGACCCCAGGAATCTGACTCTGGGCTTGGGTTGGTTTCTGAGGTTTTGTCTGTTAATTCCTATAGAATTGAACATTCCAATTCACTGCTTAAGTTTCTCTATCCAGAAAACATCTCATCAGGATTCCTGAAGGTATGAGCAGCTGGATAGTTCTGGGCAGACCCGGGCCGGGTCACTTAGCTTCTTTACACTAGAACCAGGCCATAAACACTGAGGCATCTGGAGGGTCACTCTAGGAGAGTCCCAGCACTCAGCTGACTGACCATGGTTGTGGGATGGTCCAGCTTGACACCCTGTCCCCAGCACAGCTCCTTAACCCTCCAGCCCTGCCCAGCCCACTCCTTCCCTCCCACCTCAAAGAGTGACCAAGCCTGCCTGTGTGGTCCCCCAGAGGCGGTAGGGCTCAGCAATGCTCCCTCATTTAGGCATCTTTCTCTTTTCCCTTTTTAGTTTTTGAGCCACACCCAGCTGTGCTCAGGGATCACTCCTGGCAGTTCTCAGGAATCCTTTGGGGTGCCTGAAGCCAGGGTCAGTGCATTCAAGGTGGGCCCTGGAACCTCAAAACCACTCTCCAGCCCCTCATCTGAATCCCTCAGAAGTTTCCTGCAACAAAGACCCTGGCCCCAGCCCACTCTGGAGAGGTGATTTCTGAAAGGAGAGACCCAGAGAGCTTAGATAGATGAACACAGTTCAGCTAAGGGCACATCACAGGTGTCGGGGAAACACCCAAACCCACCTCCGCACAGTCTTATGGGGGGAGAGGGTAGCTTACCCAGGGCCCACTATACTCCCTACCCAAGCCAGTGCAAAAGCCCCATTAGCCTCCTCCTCCCCTTTCTTCCTCCCCATCCTTTCCCTCCTCTTCCTCCTCCTCTGGAGCTCCAGCTCACAGTTCCCAGCACCTCTCCCAGCTCCCACCCCTGGAGAAGCCAGACCCTCCTGGACAAGGCCCCGGAAGCTCTTTCCAACAGCCCTAGGAATCTGTCCTGGAAGCCAAGAGCTGGCAGCCCACACCACACACGGCGCTTTGGCCGTGTCCAGACATCAGGGCTCCTGGAGGAACACATCCTTCCCTCCCAGAGATGGCCCCACTGCAGATTGGGCCCTTTCCCCTCAAGGAACAGGACAAAGATGACAAAGCTGGGGAGGGCAGCCTGTGACCTTTCCAGAGGGGTCCCGGCAGGACAGAGGACAGCCGGGAGGTGGGAAAGAAAAGATTCTCACTTGGTCCAGACCACACAAATGTCCCTGAGCCATAGCTGGGGTCTCTGGTCTCTCTGCATTCCCGGGAGGGGGGATGAGAGAACCATCAGACCTGGCTGACTACCACCCCCCAGCCCCCCCCCCCCCCCCCGTGGCCTAAGTGAATCTGGCTGGTCATGGCTGGAGTGAAATGAAGCCCCAGTCCAACATACCCCATTCCCAGACGGCATCTAACTGGGGCGCGCTGGAGGCCATGCCAGGGGCCTGGGAAAGACGCTGGGCAAAAGCAGTTTGGGGGCTGTGTTTAGTTTCCTACAGGAGAAGAAAATAAAGCAACAAAGAAAACAAATCTGAAGTGGGACCTAGAAAAAAAGCTCTGGTTATGCTCCTCCTGGGAACCAGAAGGGACCCCCAGACAGTCTCCCGGGATGGAGAAGGGACCCCCAGACAGTCCCCCAGGACACCAGGAGAGGCTGGCAAACTGTCTTTTTGTTCATAGCTTTCCTTTTTATCTTCTTCTTCTTTTTTTTAAATCTAGGTGCCATAACTTACAAAGCCCCTAGCAACAGAGTTTTGGGGAAACACATCATTGAGGGGTGGTGGGGTTACCACCCGGGCAGAGCTCAGAGTGCTGTGATGTCAGAAGCATATAATGGGGGCTGACACTGTACTCCGAACCCCATTTCCCAGTGGCCTTTGGTACACAATGCTTTTGCTAGTGTCTCTTCACTCTGTGTCAGTAGGAAGTGTGCTCCCGCAGTCCCATATACGACAGCCAGAGGAAACTTTCTCCAGATCTATAACACCAGACTAAAGTTGATTCTTTCAGGTCTCACGTTAGACTGTTTTTGTTCAGGTTTTTTTTTTTTTTTGGCGGGGTGGGGGAAGATAGGTGGACAGAGGTGGGCAGATCAGGGGAGAGAGAATCAAATCCAGGGTTTCACATTTGCTGGGCTGCGGGAGTGCACATAATTGCCAGCTCTGCTGCTGGGTTATACGTCCCTAAACCCCAAATTATTTTTTTGGTTTTTGGCACTGGGCCACACCTGGCAGTGCTCAGGACTTACTCCTGGCTCTGTGCTCAGGGACCACTCCTGAAGGGGCTCAGGGGATCCAATGGGGTACAGGGGATGGAACCCAGGTCAGCCATGTGCAAGGAAAGTGTCCGCCTCATCTTCCTCCCCACCAATTTTTTTATTTTTTGCATCACACCCAGCGATGCACAGGGGTTACTCCTGGCTCTGCACTCAGGCATTACTCCTGGCAGTGCTCAAGGGATCATGTGGGATGCTGGGGATCAAACCCGGCTTGGCCGCATACAAGGCAAACGCCCTACCCATTGTACTATCACTCTGGCCCTACCAATTCTTTTTTAAAGCACCCTTTTACTTTGGTATCCCAACAAAAACATTTGGATTTACAATGTAGTAGGCCCAGAACCAAGAAGCCAGTGGGTAAGGTAATTACAGATACCGAAGAGGCTTGAAGATAGCACATTAGCCATCTTTGAAACGTTCAGAATAAGAGAAGGAACACATGGAGGGTGCGGGATCCCGGAGGAAAAGAAAAAAGAAAAAACAGGTTCCAAAAAGAGCCGAGAGCACCGGCAAGTTCCAGATGGAGTAGGCGCCGCATCCCGCCTCCCCCAGATGGAACCCTGGTGACCAGAAGCCTCTACAAACACAGCTCGAGTATGCGGGAGCGAGGACTTTTTCTCAAATCTGCCGGACTACACCTCCCAGGTAACCTCTGATCCCGGAAGTCACACCCACAGCCCGCCCCCCAGCGCCATCTTTGAAACGTTCAGAATAAGAGAAGGAACACATGGAGGGTGCGGGATCCCGGAGGAAAAGAAAAAAGAAAAAACAGGTTCCAAAAAGAGCCGAGAGCACCGGCAAGTTCCAGATGGAGTAGGCGCCGCATCCCGCCTCCCCCAGATGGAACCCCGGTGACCAGAAGCCTCTACAAACACAGCTCGAGTATGCGGGAACGAGGACTTTTTCTCAAATCTGCCGGACTACACCTCCCAGGTAACCTCTGATCCCGGAAGTCACACCCACAGCCCGCCCCCCAGCGCCATCTTTGAAACGTTCAGAATAAGAGAAGGAACACATGGAGGGTGCGGGATCCCGGAGGAAAAGAAAAAAGAAAAAACAGGTTCCAAAAAGAGCCGAGAGCACCGGCAAGTTCCAGATGGAGTAGGCGCCGCAT